CACTACGATATAATACACTATGATATAATACACTACGATATAGTACACTACGATACAGTACACTATGATATAATACAGTACGATATAATACACTACGATACAGTACACTACGATATAGTACACTACGATATGATACAGTACAATATAGTACACTACGATATAGTACACTACGATATAATACACTACGATATAATACACTACGATATAATGCTCTACGATATAGTACACTATGATATAATACACTACGATACAGTACACTACGATATAATACACTACGATACAGTACACTACGATATAATACATTACGATACAGTACACTACGATATAGTACACTATGATACAGTGCACTACGATATAATACACTACGATATATTACACTATGATATAGTATACTATGATATAGTATACTATGATATAATATAGAACACTACGATATAATACATTACGATACAGTACACTACGATATAATATACTACGATATAGTACACTACGATAAAGTACACTACGATATAATACAATACGATACAGTACACTACGATATAATACACTACGATATAGTACACTACAATATAGTACACTACGATATAGTACACTACGATATAATACAATATAATATAGTACACTATGATACAGTATACTACGGTATAATACACTACGATATAATACACTACGATATAGTACACTCTGATATAGTACACTACGATATAGTATACTACGATATTATATAGCACACTACGATATAATACAATATAATATAGTACACTACGATACAGTACTCTACGATTTAGTACACTACGATACAGTATACTACGATATTATATAGTACACTACGATATAATACAATATTATATAGTACACTACAATATAATACACTACGATTCAGTACACTACGATACAGTACACTTTGACATCGTACACTACTATATAGTACACTACGATATAGTACACTACGATATAGTACACTACGATATAATACACTACGATATAGTACACTACGATATAGTAAACTACGATATAGTACACTACGATATAGTACACTATGATATAATACACTACGATATAATACACTACGATATAGTACACTACGATATAATACACACGATATAGTATACTATGATATATACACTACGATATAATACACTACGATATAGTATACTACGATATAATACACTACGATATAATACATAGATATACTACACTACGATATAGTACACGATACGATATAGTACACTACGATATAATACACTACGATATAGTACACTACGATATAGTACACTATGATATAATACACTACGATATAGTACACTACGATATAGTACACTATGATATAATACACTACGATATAGTACACTATGATATAGTACACTATGATACAGTGCACTACGATATAATACACTACGATACATTACACTATGATATAGTATACTACGATATAGTATACTACGATATAATATAGAACACTACGATATAATGCATTAAGATACAGTACACTACGATATAATACACTACGATATAGTACACTACGATATAGTACACTACGATGTAATACACTACGCTATAGTACACTACGATATAGTACACTACGATATAATACACTACGATATTTTGCACTACGATATAATACAGTACGATATAGTAAACTGCAATATATTGCACTATGATATAGTATACTACGATATAGTATACTATAATATAATATAGAACACTACGATATAATACATTACGATACAGTACACTACAATATAATACACTACGATATAATACACTACGATATAATACACTACGAAATAGTACACTTCGATATAGTACACTATGATACAGTGCACTACGATAAAATACACTACGATATATTACACTATGATATAGTATACTACGATAAAGTATACTACGATATAATATAGAACACTACGATATAATACATTTCGATACAGTACACTACGATATAGTACACTACGATATAGTACACTATGATACAGTGCACTACGATATAATACACTATGATATAACACACTATGATATAGTACACTATGATATAGTACACTACGGTATAATACATTACGATACAGTACACTACGATATAATACACAACGATATAGTACACTACGATATAGTACACTACGATATAGTACACTAAGATATAATACACTACGCTATAGTACACTACGATATAGTAAAATACGATATAGTACACTGCGATATATTGCACTATGATATAATACACTACGATATAATACACAACGATGTAGTACACTACGATATAGTACACTACGATATAATACACTACGATTCAGTACACTACGATATAACACAATATGATACAGTACACTACGATATAATACAGTACGATATAGTACACTATGATATAATACACTACGATATAGTACACTACGATATAGAACACTATTATATGATACAATACGATATAGTACACTGCGATATAGTACACTACGATATAATACACTACGATATAGTATACTATGATACAGTGCACTACGATATAATACTCTACGATATAGTACACTATGATACAGTACACTACGATATAGTACACTACGATTCAGTACACTATGATATAGTACACTACGATATAATACAGTACAATATAGTACACTACGATATAGTACACTACGATACAATACACTATGATATAATACACTACGATACAGTACACTACGATATAATACACTACGATACAGTACACTACGATATAGTACACTACGATATGATACAGTACGATATAGTACACTACGATATAGTACACTACGATATAATACACTACGATATAATACACTACGATATAATGCTCTACGATATAGTACACAATGATATAATACACTACGATACAGTACACTACGATATAATACACTACGATACAGTACACTACGATATAATACATTACGATACAGTACACTACGATATAGTACACTATGATACAGTGCACTACGATATAATACACTACGATATATTACACTATGATATAGTATACTATGATATAGTATACTATGATATAATATAGAACACTACGATATAATACATTACGATACAGTACACTACGATATAATATACTACGATATAGTACACTACGATAAAGTACACTACGATATAATACAATACGATACAGTACACTACGATATAATACACTACGATACAGTACACTACAATATAATACACTACGATATAATACACTACGATACAGTACACTACAATATAATACACTACGATATAATACAATACGATACAGTACACTACGATATAATACAGTACGATATAGTACACTACGATACAGTACAGTACGATATAATATACTATGATACAGTACACTACGATATAGTACACCACGATATAATACTTTACGATATAGTATACTATGATATAGTATACTACGATATAATATAGTACACTACGATATAATATATTACGATACAGTACACTATGATATAATACACTACGATATAAAACACTACGATATAGTACACTACGATATAGTACAGTACGATATAGTACACTATGATATAATACACTACGATATAGTGCACTACGATATAATACACTACGATACAGTACACTACCCTTTGGTTCACTTAGATATAAGTACACTACGATTTAGCTCCCTATTGGAACCTCTTGTATTGTCTGATTAAATACCGGAAAGAAAAATTTGAAGATAGGAATTCCAAGAAGCAGGTCTTCTTACGATATCGTGCTACTTTAATTACAACATTTGGTAGACCAGAAAACGATTTCATTATGCAATCCTGACACTGTGTATATATACAAATTATACAAACAATTTATTGAAATATTTTAACATTTGACAAGGACAAAAAACAACTAAATTTAAAACCCCGAACTTGTCAATAGATGCCAGATAATATCAGAAAAAAGTCAGACATGCTTATGACACATACATACGTAGGTATTGACTATCAAATCTGTATATCACCTCCGTGTCCGCCTATTGGGCTGTAATGTTTCTAAATGGATGTGAAGTAGGATAAAGTTTGTATATTTGAATTATAAGCAATTATATTGGAACTAGGATAAAGTACATTCATAGTGCATACGGTGTTCCTGATAAATAACACCAATATCTACTTTCTGCATTATGATATTTATATATTTATTCATTTATCTATTTATTTATTCATTATTTATTTATGGTTAGTATTTTTTAACCATGGTGATATTAGAGAGGACTCATTTTTTTTTATAACAGAACATTTTATTTCATGATTTAATGTACAGAAGGAAATGCGCGGCAGACGTAAGGTATGAAAGCCCCCTCCTTGTTATCTTAAATTTATACCATGTTACAAGTGAAGTAATTAGTCTTAATACTTGGGTTACTTGGCGTAAATCACATACTTTAATCCATATTATAAAAAGTTGTCCGGTAAACATTTGACATGCAAGCCTGGTCTCTATCACAGTATTTTATTGTTGGATAAATAGATCAAATATAAAGGCTTGTGATATAGGTAGTTTACCGACATACAGTGTCTTTAATCTGTCATTACAAAACTAGCGCTATAGATAATCCGTTATAATTCTAATCTTTGGTCAATGGATTTATCTTAATGATAAATCAATGACCCGATTAACTGAATGCCCAATAACATTGTATATAAACTATATGTTAACCGAAATTTCATTATCGCTAGTGTAAATATTGCGTGTGTTGTTTAACTTTTACTCGGACGCAGGATATACGAATGTAGACCATAAAAAGGAATCGTATTTATTACATATTGACTGTGTGGAATACAGGAATATAATGATAACATATTGACTATGTGGAATACAGGAACATAAACGTGACGTTAGAGGCTGTTTGGAAACCCAGTATTACAAATGTGAATTACGAATTATGAATCAACTGTGTACATTTATAAAACGAACAAATAATAAGAAATAACTTTTTAATAAGTTCAAACTTAACCGTAAAGACTTCTAATTAATTATTCCAGTGGCGAGTTGTTAAACTGAGACAGGACCTCACAATGAGTTCCAACATCGGCACCTCTATTGGTGGTGCTTTTATTAACTGGTTCTCTGAAGATGTTATGCCCAAGGTTGCGACTGCGGTCGATTTAACAATACTCCTCGTTAGCATCATTCTAAACGTACTACTTATAGTCATGTTCAACAAGAAACACTTATTTCTGGATCCTGCCAATAGATTCATGTTCCAGTTAATTATTGTGGACATTCTATCCTGGTTTTTTATTCTCATCCCCGGCGCAGTTGTAGCTTTGAGGGGACAATGGGATCTAACAATGCCCGTATGTTACGCCCAAGCCGTAATAGTGAACTGGATATACTTAGTAATGTTTGGTCTCATTACTACGTTGTTTGTAGAAAGGGCAGTTTTAGTGAAGAACCCGAAATTGCGCGACAAAATTTTTGGAAAAGTTTCGAAAGTGACCATCATTTCAATTATGATATGGAGTATCGATCTTGCTATTGCTGCCATTCCAACTTCCGGGTGGAGTCCTATTGATTATGACTTTTACCATAGTAGTTGTATTGTCTACAACGAATCCAACGTATATTACGTCATAATATTGTTTATGTTCGGAATAGGAACAGCCATCTTATCCGGGGCTGTCTGTATTCCGATCATTTTGAATTCTCGAAAGTCAAGAATCTTGCGCGAAAATGCAGAAGCTGCTAAAATAGAGGCAGATATTCGCCGTAAGATGAGGCTGGAAGCCATAGCAGAAGAGAAAAAAGAAATGGAAGCTGAAAAAATCAAGAACGGTCAGGATTCAAGTAAGAAATTAGAAAAATCTCTTCAGCCGCAGGCGAGACAGGGATGGACAAACGATAAACCATCAAATAGTAAAACAAATAATAATGCAAAGAAGAAACAAACGAGAAAGAAAACACGACGCGCGAGAACACCAAAACGGAGAGACAAACGCCTGCTAGAAGATGATTATGAGGATCCCGACTTTCACCTGACTGTCACATATATGATAATGTGGGTCCTATTGTTGGTACTCTGGCTGCCGTACTTTATAGTCCTATTCAGGCACGCGGCGATTAACGACACGGACTTTTGGAGGGGATACTATTCCGTAACTGTCATACTTGCCCTTTTCAGTTTCTGCATCAAGCCGATCATATACTTGTCTCATAATAGACACATGCAAGAGAAAACTAAGGACACTATTCCTGAAAATGTTGTCAACCGCGCATCAGCTCTGCGGATGTCTTTTGGTGACGTTGTTGATAAATTGGATAAGATAGTGTTTAAATCTCCAAGGACTCAGCCGTCTATTCAGACTACAGTGAAAGCGCATACTATAGCTATGAAATGGATGAATAAGTCCAATGTGAAAGATAAATCTGTTAAACAAGAGGCTGATGTCGCTTCAGAGGGTAGTCAAGATGAACATAAACATGACCAGTCAGAATCGGTAAATGATAAAGAGGGCCTCCTGAACCTTGCTGCTCCAGCGGATGGGTCATCTAAGGTAACGTCACCAACGCCAACGGATACGAACACTGCTGCCGACACTGCCGAATCAGCCTTAATTGATATGGAGGAAAGCGATCAGGGAACGGGCAGGTGGCCAGCGATGATCTAACATTCACCAGAACATGTGTCTCGAATGTGACAATAATAACGTTTCATATGTAATGTTTCAGAAAAGGATAGTGTTCGTTAAATGTGTTTTTGTATCTATGACCATAAATGTGGATATTTTATTTGCCTGTTAGAAAATATTGACAGAGTTCACGCCTTTTCACTTGTTCATAACTAATTCCACTACAACATTTGATTTATATTTGCGAGAGAAAAACGAAATATAACTTCTAGGGATGAAGTTTTGTTATCAGTTTTGTAATCTAGTTTTGGGCCAGAAGAAACCAGCTTATCAAACATTTAAACGATTTTATGTCCCACGAAAAAAATATCTTAATCACAATTTTCATTTTGTCATTTTCTTTTACTGTACAGTTGTGTTCATAACTTTACCTCTATGCTCAATATCTACAGCTAATATGTAGATGTACGAAGAAGTCACTACATAACCAGTAAGTCACGTGACTGTCACGAGAGACTGCATTAGCATATCGACGGTATATCTTTTCTGCGCACCTATTCGACAAAATCACACTTCATACAGAATTTGGACACACCCTAGAGTAAAACTGATGTAAATTCATCTTATGGCCAGAGTACAGTGCAAATATGACGCAGTAATGCTCAATGCTTCAAAATATTTCGACATAATAATTCAATTTATAGGGAGTAGGGGTGGGGGGAATCATATAAGATAACGACAAAACGTGGTTTATTTTAAATGATATAGAATATTGGGAAACACAGACGCGACTCATGTCAGACGCTTTAATATCTATCTGTAAATATTAGAACTCTCAGGTATTTTAAATATCACACGACAGTTGAGTGATTAGAGATATAAAACCATTATTGATACAAAGATGTCGGGGTCATAAATTCCGATCCTTTATCATATAGATAGATAGCTTATAAAGACATGGAGTATCGTAAAGTATGCACTCGGTTATGTCTATAATCAACAAGTGTTGTAAAGCAAAATAGTTAACATGTCCACCGGTGTAAATACTCATGTACGTATTGTGACGTCATCGGAATGTATAGATATCAACAATCCATTCTTTACGCGGTGATATCCACAAACGCGCTATATTTTATCTGAATAAGGCCAAAGGTTTTTTTGCTTTGTTTTTTGTTTTTGTTTTTTTAATGGTTCTAAACCATGACACCTGATTGAATTTGGTTGGCTTTGTTCTGTGCTACGCAAAGGAGAACTTTGTATAAACCACGGGTCTAACCCTATAGGGGAATTTGGGTACATCTTTGAAAACTCTTCTTCAAACAATAATGTTAAGTAGGGAATTCGTCGGCAGGAAGGTAATCCTTCTTATATAAACAGCAAGTCTTTGGTCATCCAGTGCTGAAATGATGAGGTCAAATAGACTTTTGTTAATCAATCAATCTTAGTACATCTGATCTGACAACGCTGTATAATCTAAATGTCACTGACGACGTAGTTGTAATATACAATTTTATTCTTTGTTTGGCTCTACCGTATATAACACTAGATTTGTACTGAAAGAGCTATTTACTTGTGTGCTATTTATACAATCTACGATATTGCAGGTAGTAAACCCTAATGGTAGACATTTAGTCCCCGAGGCTTACCGTAGCCTTATTGCTACGATTTAATTCATTCAAACAGTGGCACGGTTCAGAATATATAAATGTACTTGGCGGTGTTCCAAAATTGTCAGATATATAAAAATCACATAATTTATTGAGTTATAGGGCTAGGGCACCTTCCAGTCTCGATTATAACTTTTATATCGATCTGTTTGGTTCTTCCTTATTGGCCTCAAGGCTTCAAACTTTAGTTCCTTATCATCACTGTCGAGTCCAAGAATAAAGAAATAGAAGTATGTCACATTTTACTTCGTTGTGTTTGGCTCTGCTGTATTTAACTCTAAATTTGTATTAAAAGGAGTTATTCACGAGGTTGTCTTATGTAAAATCTTCGAGATTGCAGGTGGTAGACACTGTTTTTGGACTTTTTGGAATCATTGCAAATAGATATGTTTTTATCACCGTTTATGTATTTAAAGTTTGTCTATTAATCATCACACAAACTAAGTGAAGTTTCCATTTACTCTTATCCAAGAAAATCAAGGTAAGCCAACCTCTCTTCATTTGAGTCTCTGTCAGTGACTTGTATTTCTATCTCTGCACCGCCGAATGTAAACTGAACGTCGGCACCTCGTTCAAGTCCTTTGCTGATGTCAGGCATTTCTATTTCAACAGATCCAATACACTCACAGCCTTCATCTGTGACATACTCTGGTGACGGGTTGTGAGAAATGTAAATACCGAAAAGTATTCCTGTTTGATCTGGATATACTACGGCATAAGGATACTTCTCTAAACTCTGCCATACAGGTATTACGTCTCCTTTCTTTACATGAATGCTAAATACATCAACACAGTATACCGATTCACCATCTACTTCTTTCAGTTTCTCGACTGGATCTTTTTCGGGAATAAACAACCGCATAGTGTCTGTGCCATATGTATACCTACTGATTCGTTCAGTTACAGTGTTTAGCTCATGTCCGTTTATGACAGCACCTTTCAGAACAGCGAGACCTGCCTCATGTGGAATGACAAGACGCTTGTTTGGAAACTTGGTGGAAATTCCTGTTTGCAATAGCGGACATTCTGAATATCCACCAACAAGAAGTATAGCCTGCGCTTTGGCGACCTCAGGGTGTTCCAACAATTTTTCCACGTGGTTTTTTATCTTCTCGACGGATTTCTTGAATATTGTCTGAGCTAGATCTGACTTGATCCGCAATCTATCCATCTTCCATGTGAGATTGTTTGCATACTTTTTACTTGAAGATATACTCTTCTCGATGGTTTTATTTGGGTGCATCTCAGCAAATGTTTCAATCAAAGTTATCGGAAGTGTAAATGTTATTTTTTCATCAGTCGTTGACGAAATCGACCTTTTCTTGGTTTCAAAAGACCTCTGTAGCTCTAGATAGTCTCCTACATGTTTTTGTTTGAATTTTTCAAACACGTCAGCTCCTAGGATTTCGGAAAGAAGCGTTTCAAAGTCATTGTCTACCATGGTCCCTCCCCAGTCCCCACCATTTGCCATATGGATTTCCTTCAGCTTTAGACCTTCCAGTACTTCGTGCACTGTGATATCAACTGTGCCGCCTAAAACATGGAAAGTTAATTCCTATAATTACTTATAAGACAACTAGACCAATGAAGAGTATCAGAATAATGCAGAACTCGGTGTGAAAAAACTGTTTAGACAAATGCTATTTAAACTTTTGATAATGATTATTATTCAGGGATGGATATTATTGCACCTGTCACGCCTACTGATTGTATCTATTCAGTATTCTTCTGTCATCCATTGTGCATCATATTTTATGATATTTTAATTTTGTTTTTGAAAAGCGTCTATATGAATGTTAGAAAGTAATGAATTATTGCAGGTATTTAGCAGATTTTTTTAACGTCGATGCAACAATGAATGCGGAATAGCCAGCAAATGCACGTGTCAATAATATGTAATTGGTAGATTCTCACCACAATTACTCCAGTGTCAACTACAATCTCTTGTGGCATTCTGCAGGAACGATCCTTTATTAGTGTATAGATCCATAGTTAGTAGTGTCAATTTCTATTGTTCCAACATCGGTATTACAGCATGTACTTACCACCAACATCTACCACAATGTATCGAGACCCTGGCCGGAAAACCGCCAGGTTGTCGCCTCCTTTTCCGACAGACATTTCTTTAAGAGGCAAGTGCTTACAGAACAAAGCCGCTGACTCAGCCTCTAACGACAGGACCAGCTGATAGCTTGGGATACCTGCCTGAACAAAGAATGCAGATTTATTCAGTGAGATATATTCTCTATTATCAACAATTATTGGTAAGACTTTAAATAACATTCTACATTGTTATATTATATCTCATTACTTTTACCTTTACCGTGACATAATACAAAAAGTTAGAGTGACGACAAGATGTTTTAGATACATCATTGCAGTGAACTTTATAACAGCTTTATGGTAGGTTGACAATTGGATAGCGCAAACCATTGTCCGTTACCTGCTGAGCGCATTCCCTCATAAATTGCTTTGCTCGATCTGTCCAAATTGCAGGAACCGTCAGGACCCAACGGATATCGGACGTCGAAAGTTCGAGTCCTCTCTTTTGACACGTACTTAGTAGGTGGTCTACCAAATACTTCATTGCCGATGCAAATACTGTCATTGCGAGCATTGGTTTACCGTTTTGAGCATACAATTTCATAGATCTGGTGATATCCTAAAAATATAGAGAAATGTCAACAATTCAGTTAACACAACTACCAGTAAACCTAATAATCTTAGCGATTTAATCCGAATTCCGATTAATCATATTTTCGATTGATGGTAACCAATGTATTCTTGCTTACCTCTTGCTCATACAGCGACATCTTAAAACGTCTGAAGAAAAACCAATCGTGGTGTTTTCCCTCTTCTATCAGCTCGGCATACTTGTCTTCGGCCTCAAACCCAAATGTATCAAAGTGTCCGTCTGGCTTGAACAGAACGCAACTTGAAGTCTTCAATGAGGCAAGATTCCCCGATCCAGCTTTCCATACAAGAGTATTGATATTCAAAGGGTTTTTCATATACTCTAACCGTGTTGAGAACGCGTATCCCGAGTAGGTTGTTCCGAAGTCCAATGCTGCCGCCAAAATGTACGGGTTGTTTTTGAGGTCTTTTTTCTGTAACAAGGTAATCGTAACATGGAAGACAGGCAATGTGTTATTGATAACAGCATGTTTACAACAAAAACAGGTCACAAGACAGTCACAATAAATATCTGTATATTCGCATTTTTTCCGTATGTACATTTTGGAGAGACTGACTCGTCTATACATACAGAATAGATATATATATATATATAATTAACAGAATTATTTAAATATGACTGATTTTGTCTTCATTAATTTTAATTCAAATCAATCAATGCGAGTGCATTCTCGTTGGTATGCTACAAAATACAATATTTGCGCTGATTGAACTTTTAATCAGTGTTGATCGTTCTAGAACATTCTGCACTAACTATACAAAATGATAGCCTGACAGTGACAAAAGTAGTACCATGAATCCACAATTGTGTATTGATATTTTGTTCATATTTTGTGCAATCTTCATAAGTCAAAACAATATTCAACATTTTCTTACACTCACCAGTATGCGAGGCTGCATCTTCTGTTCCACTTGTGAATCCATCTGAATCAAACCATGACTCATTAGAGATGATACGGATATGACTAGCTTAATATACTACAATGGTCAATAGTCGCTTTGTGGTTTTAAGACAGTCGCAAGAATTTCAGCTAATTGTTTATCTATCTTCTTTACTACTATCATTAGTCTTTGCATGACTTAAGTTTGTTATGAAGAATCCTGTAACACTTTATGCATCCATATTCGATCCGATTCCATGTTATATATTCATTTGTACAGGTTTCGTGGTCGCTTGACGGGAAGTTTTGTTTGTTTGTAGTAACCCTGCACACCCCAATTAAGTGTTTACTTTTATTTTTAACGGGATATGATAAACACAAGTACATGACGTCTGTTATAACATCAAATGCAGTCAAATTACAATATACATGTAATTATGTGGTTAATTGTTGTGGCTCTATTGCAACTTATTCGAAAGACATAAGATTCGTTTTTCCCCAGTTATTGAATCCCGCTCTGTTGGTCCCTCGTAACACGTATGCATGTCTCAGTTTCTTTCATCATTTGAATTTCATCATAGGAGAAGCCAATGTGAAAATAATGGCTTCATCATTATTTCACATTTTAGTAATGGTTTAAATATAACGAAAATGTAAACTTTCAAAACATTACAGGCCGCCTGTATTGTGTCGTGTCGCACATCTAAATATAATTAGACACATATGATGAAATTACTTAATTACGTAGGTAGTAGAACACTTAAAGCCCGCATATTGTCTTATTGGGAAACAGGTTTGAGACTTTTCGTGTGATTCTCAGAAATATGAGTTATATGATAGTTATAATTATAAACTTGTGCTGATGTAATATGCGATTAAAATGTAATATGGTATTTAAAAAGTAACAACACCTCGGTAAATGATTTGATATGTCACCCAACTATGTCCTGACATATTGATTTATTGAATTCATTTAATAAATTTTATGCTTAATCGACATTCATGTGAGACCATCCGTATATGCATGTAAAATAGAGGTTTATTTCTAAAATGCTTCTGAAGTAAGCACAGGTAGATACATAGCATTTATTATCTATGTTTGTGTTTAATTATAAGGGTAAAATTGAATGGATAAGCTTAGATAGCGTCCGACAGTAAGTCATACAATACAGAAAGGTAATCACTATATATATATATATGTGTGTGTGTGTGTGTGTGTGTGTGTGTGTGTGTGTGTGTGTGTGTGTGTGTGTGTGTAATTATGTATTCGCCTATAATCAAAAATGTATGAAACACATATTTTTCACTTCAATATATAAATATTATCATCCTATATTTATATGAATTACTGTCAAACATCAGATTCCTGTACACATATGATACTCACCTTAGCTTGTCTGTAATCTTTCACTATACCTACGTGAAGGAATGAGACTATTTGGAAATCATTTCAATAGAAATAAATTTGGAAATTAGGACCAGGAAGTTTAAAACATGCGTAACGAATATTCGTTGTACAAGTCGTTTCTGGCATACACCACCAAGAAAAATACGATCCTATGCTATGGAGCTCTATACTCCTTGATGTGGAGTATAGATAAAAACATACATTTCAAACGCTTCATTAATCCTAAATGTTCAGTGTCTCAGTGACTAACTCTGACCTGATCATAATTATTTGCATGTTGGGCAATGTCCTTAGCTGATATTTTCGTAAAACCGTTAACATAAGTTGCTTTCGGATGACGTCAGAATGTAGGCTACAGTTATTTCGAGCATGTCTTTGTATTACAGAAGAAAAATCGTTATTCAAATACTTGTTTCATTTCGCAATGATCACACGTCTATGCTATTCCAATGCTTAATTTATAAATGTCGCTATTAACTTAATCTAACTAAATTGCCATGAAACATAATGAAACTTTAATCATCCTTATAATTCACTTTGTGTAACTAAATTTCAGGTCATTTAAACTATTTATACCGCTATTTTTCATAATGCAATAGTTCAGTGTAAAACGATACAATAATATATACGGTCATTGTTATTCCGTCTCTCTCAGCACACAAACGTCCGCGAAAGCTTGGTTTAGAGAAAATGCATTATTTTAATGCTAAATGTCGCGTGACATCAAAGTGTTACTTCGGCGGTGGTGATATTTTATTTACCTGATAAGACACTACTACACCGGTCACGCCTGTATTTATTCATAAACATTCATGATCGTTTTAAGATAAATCTACCCTAGTATACAGTTAATGTTTATAGAATGATTCTCCCCTTTTTAATCTGTACACGGCTATATCCAATCACGTGAACGTTGTCCGTCTTGATTCATAGTCTACATTTTAGATACGCACAATTGATTGTGAACTTCACTCGATTTTTTCGTGGTTAGAAATCTGGTGATGGCAAATATCATAAAATTCCACGATTGGTTGTTTAATATCAATTGATACGTACATCGGAATCAAACTGATGTCCAAACCCTAAGGAAAATAAAGAACTTTTGTCATATTTTTAATTTATAATCTCAGTAACAACTAAACTGATACATTTCAAGATCAAATAAAACCTGTTCTTATTTGTCATTTGTCAGATAGATAAAAGACAATCTGACGACAGATCTTAACTGTTATAACTATTATATATACTGTTTTAGCATTCGTGTATGTTATTAACAACTTGGTGCCAGAAGGATGTTTCTTTGTTTAGAGAACCTGTTCGCAATACAGATAATAACGGAACGCGTTCGTGGTCCACTATTTTGACACATACCACAGTTTGACCTACTTGTGCACACACTCCGTGCACTTGCTATTTGTTATATGTTTAAATCAGTCCTTCACCTACCTGCTTCGAAGGTAATTTCAGAATTATAAATCATATAGTAAAAAAATATCTATTGTAATTATGCACAGGTAAAAATCAATATCATCGACTCACAAAATTTGGTTTGATATAAACAATTTTATTTGCCCAAGATTTGCAAAACGATAAAGTGTTTAGTTAAAGACGAATATTTCACTTTCTTAATCAAGGGTATCGCAAAACTATTGAATCTTATGAGAAGTCCCTGTTTCCTACAATACTTTGTACATACATTATGTATTAGCAGGGACATATTATAGGTCCCTGATATTAGACCCGGTCAATCGAAATAACCCTTTGACTTCACCTACACCATGTGAGCTCATTATATTTCCCACTCGTGCATAACGAGTACTTTCCACTACCTAACATCAGGTATCGGGATACATACCAGCGGTGCGATCTGGGTGGCTGTGCTATTTAGACGATAATGTAATATAATCTAACGGAAACCAAAGTCTTGGCTTAAACTCTTTATGCATACCAGTACGTCGTCAGTTTGAAATTATTGAGAAAAGAGACGTGATTATCCGATAAAGGAAAGTCAACGTATGGCCATTACAACATGTGGACATGCAAAGTTTTTTTTCTTAGTTTTTATTCTTTTTTTGAAATATTTTGACACAAGTGTACAAAACAAGATATACATCCATCCATCATCCATCCAACCATCCATCCATCCATTCGTCCTCAAAGGCATAATGAATATGTATACGTGCCTGTCCTCACTATTCACCCCATCGTCATTATAATCACCTCCATTACGATACAGCCTCATATCTCTAGTACATGTTATCATCACATACAATACATATATGTCATCCTTCTAACTTTTGCATCCAACTCATACACACAAAGACACACCCACCCACACATTCACCTATAGTCACCTGTTCATTCATATGTACCACAAGAAGACAAACACAATACATATGTATAGGGTAAGAGATAGGAGAAAGGAGAGAGAGAGAGAGAGAGAGAGAGAGAGAGAGAGAGAGAGAGAGAGAGAGAGAGAGAGAGAGAGAGAGAGAGAGAGAGAGAGAGAGACAGACAGACAGACAGACAGACAGAGAGAGACAGAGAGAGAGAGAGAGAGAGAGAGAGAGAGAGAGAGAGAGAGAGAGAGAGAGAGAGAGAGAGAGAGAGAGAGGTGGGGGTGGAGTGGGGGCGGGGGGAGCGGAAAGATAGTGTGTGGTCAGATTTTCAGATTATCTTCAAATGAAGTAGTAATAGAATAGTACAAGACGATGTGTTCAAATGATAATAATAATGATAATAGAATTAGGCGAACTCAACAAGTTTCATCCATTTCTTCCATTTATTATCAATGTTTTTGAAGATAGTCATCTCCTTAATATATTTCTGGACTTTATATCACTCCTTAATCTGGTTAGCTAATACCATAACATTTAAGGATTTATGAAAAAAACATCTGGTTATATATATATATTGTTTAATAAGTAAAATAATTCCATTATTTACTGCATGGTAAAGACCTGTTTGTTCATATATTCCAAAATATTCCATTATTTGTAAGACCAGTTTTGTAAATATAAGAGTAAGTAGTTAAGATGTGATGGTTTATACAAAACTCTAACCATTGAAATTTTGTATTGCTAGTAGTCCTAAACGGAAGGGAGGACATGAAAAGTTTGCGTGTATAATTCGAAAGTAAACAAAAAAAAATGTTGCAAAGTATATTCCACCACACACACCACCATCATAAACACAATATTTAACATTTAATTCAAACTCGATAAACGAAGGCAAAAACATACCATAGAAAATTGACACGGATCCCCATGAAAAAGTATAGGAAAATAAAATGATGTGTTTCAGAAGATTAGGCATCATCGAAAGAACCTGTTACCGTATACCTTAGCCAGTCCAAATCCATCATGTCACTTTCCCAATGAGAACAGCAATGAAATCACAAATATTTCGCCTTAGAAATCCATTACGAGCAGATAGATGAACAGCTTTGTTTTAAGTTCAATCATAGAAATGCAATCCTTGTCTTGCTAGCCATACATGATGACCGTTTTACACGCAGAATCTCTTTTTCAACAAGTAAAACAATACTCGAGGTAACTCAAGAAACCAAACTAATGAGACAGGCGGACCTTCTTTGAAGATGTTAAGATGAAGCTCATTGTGTAATCGTCATTTAGTGAATAGAATAGGCAGGAAGCAGCGTTGTGAACGTTTAGCAGACTGCTATGTTATCAATACATTTATTGTATAATAACGCATGAATAAAAAAAAGTCCGACTGTACTAGACACCAGTGCAAATATGTTTATCAGTTTGTTGGGTTCCTGTACTTGATTTTTTTATCTGTTTTTTAAGAGAAATATCTTTACTCATTGGCAAATGTTAACAAACTAACTTTTAATTTAACATGCAACACTTATTCTAGAAAGTTAAAATATGCATTTGTTTCCTTCTGCGTGTGTATATCATACGCTTTCACCTCAATCTCCGCACCACCAAACGTGAATACCACATCCACTCCTCGATCCAAGCCCCTTGTTGTATCGGACATTTCAACAATCAGTTCACCAACACTTTCAACGCCTTCTTCAATTACATACATGGGATTTGGATCTGTTGTGGTGTGCAATCGCACCGGGAGCTTTTTCTGGTCTTTTTCTACAACTGTATAACGATTTGATTTGCCACTGAGACCAACCGGTACTGCATCTCCAGCACGTACGTGTACAGAGAAGCCACCTGCACAGCGCGGTCTCCCATCACCTCCTGATACCTTAAGCCGGGGATCATGTACTCCTCGAATGAATGGAATATCTGCTGCAACGCCGTAGGTAAGTCTGCTGATCCTCTCGATGACGGCTTCTAGTTCATGTCCATTGATGACAGCCCCAATGAGCACAGCGAGGCCAGCTTGGTTCGGAATCACAAGTCTTTTGTTTGAACATGATCTGGATATTTCGGTTTGTAGAATCGGGCATTCCGAAAATCCTCCAACCATGATAATGGCGTCGATATCCTCTACCTGTGGCTGATGAAGAAGGTCTGTGACCTGGTTTATGATGTTTTTAACCGACGGTTCAAACAATTTCCGAGCGATATCCGATTTGATGCGAAGCTTGTCTCCTTTCCAAGTCAGATTATTCGCAAATTCTTCATGGGCTTCCACCCTGTCTTCTACGGATTTTCCCTCGTTAATCTCTTCAAAAATATCATTCAAACTACACGGGAGGGTAAAAGTAATTTTCGAGTCAGAAGTAAATTGAATACACCTTTTTTTGGTTTCAAAGCTTCTTTGAAGTTCTAGTAAATCTGAAACATGTTCACGTTTGAATTTTTCAAACACATCAGAGCCCAAAATATTAGCCAATAATTGCTCAAATTCTGTGTCGACCATTGTTCCACCCCAGTCTCCCCCATTGGCCATATGGATCTCCCTCAGCTGCAGTCCGTCCTCCACTTGATGGACAGTGATATCCACAGTTCCTCCTAAAAACACATGCTGATGTATATGCACGAGTTGGTAGAATGACATTCATTTTGACAGAGATAACGTGATGTTTCGCTCAAAGAGATACTGTACAAATTATTGGAGAACATATCCCAAATTGCAATATAAATACTTGCATATTGAGTTTAGAATGCTGATCATATGATACACTTTGATACCAGTTTGTATAACAAATTCCTATCTGTGCATTAATGATGCTGAAAAAATGATTCCGTAAAATATGATCAACAAAACTAACCGAATTATCATTATCATGATATAAAATGATAAATCTAAGGTAGCTGATGATTAAATCAAAAGAATGAAACATGACTATCCTACCTAACATAAAAAAAAAATAAAAAGTTCCGGGGTTTTTATTTCATTTACACTGGTATCATCATTCGAAGCAACTACTGATGTCCAGCGGATCTTTTTATCATAAGATAATATGAAAATTTGCCAAAAACGAAAAATGTGGGTGTTGATATACATGAATGAGAATGTCAATGAAACGAGAGGCCATATACATATGTTATTTTGAAGTTTATATGTTTATTTTCATATGCTGAAGGCATAGCAAATTGTTTTCCCTAACTGTGATCGTTTAAGTTTAGATTTCGTCTATGATCAGTTCTCTCAAGGAAAGTATGAAAGTCTACTCATGAATGAACCAGTTGCTGATTACATCAATAAGGTCATGCTGTCATGTTGATTGAGTCGTAAATCAAACACATAATGGAAGATATGAGATCGGAATGAGACTTTAAGAAAGGTTTACAAGGAAATCCTTAATTTCTTACATAAGGAATAAGACCAGGTCCAAATTACATCTCAAACTTACCCCCCATATCCAATACCATGTATTTGGCTCCTGGTTTGAAGATAGAGACATTGCCCGCTTTTCCGACAGCCAGATCACTGACGGGGAGGTACTTGCAGTACAAGGCCGCAGCCTCCGCTTCGAGTGCCATCACCAGTTGTGGACCGGGTATTCCTGCCTGTAACATAACAAAATGTGATGGTAATTTTTTTTTACAAACTGAATCAATATGATTACTTACTAGAATTATGGAATTATGGAAAACATAATGCAAATCCAAAGAAAGTTTCATCAACTCGATTCATATTTAATCAATTAATGACTTAATCAATTAAACGTGCATTACCTTTTCAGCACATTCTCTCATGAACTGCTTGGCTTTGTCACTCCAGATTGCAGGCATTGTCAGTACCCAACGGATGTCAGACATCAGAACCTCTGCACCTCTTTCCACGCATTTCGCTATTAAATGGTCCTTTAAAAAGCGAATGGAGCTAGAAAACACCTTCATTGCCAGCATTTCCCTTCCATTCTGATCTTTTATTTTCATAGTCCGGGATATTTCCTAAATGGAAATAATTGGATTGTTGAAAAAGGACATGTCATCAGGTCAGTGTAAATTGGTGGAAGCATAACGTCCTACTATTTCAATTAATGGTGAAATAAGGAAGCATAGAATGGATTCGCTACAAGGTATAACGTGGGTTATTTTACAGTATTTAAAATGTTTACCGAGTGTTTATTGTGACAATCACCATGTAAGGAAATAACATAAGAAGACACTAAAATTGTAACTAATATTCAATATATTTTCAATTATCTCAGTGGAAGTAAATACCAAGATACCTTCTGTTCATATAAACACATCTTAAAACGGCGAAAAAAGTACCAAGACCCATGTTGTTTGTTATCTAGCAGATCAGCGTACTTGTCTTCTGCTTCAAATCCGAAAGAATGAAAACTACCATCTGCTTTAAAGAGAATACACGTGGACGTCTTCAGAGACAAAAGATTGCCCGATTCGGCGGTCCATGTCATATTTGAAACTTTTAACGGCGATATTTTGTATTCAAACTGACTTGAAAATGCATAACCAGAGTAAGTTGTCCCGAAGTCAATAGCAGCTGACAGAATATATGGCATATCTTTCATATTTTTCTTCTGAAAGCAAACAATACACCATCCATTTTACATATGCTATAAAGTATTACATTTCAAGAGACATTTAATGTGCTTTAATTGAATAAGGAAACACAGGATTAACATGACAATGAAGGAAAGATTAATTTTACGTTTATCAACTTGTAATATAAAAACATCGTAATTTTAGTAAAACTTAAACATGATGATAATATATTTTGGGGAATTAATGTGAGACGGCATATTTGATCATGTACCTGGATACCTAGCCTGACAGGATCTATACACCCAGGTGGTTTATATGTGGTCTTCGGATCCGGCTTAAATTTTCGTGCGTTTTTAGCAGCTGCCATTTCACCCCGTTCACTGTAATGTAAGTGTATAATAACATTAATCACACATAACGAAACTAGCAAAAAGTGCAAATAAAGGCGAAACATAAAAATCTGTTAAAGGAGCACATTACATTGGTTATTTATAGTTTGCTTATAATTCTCTCAGAGTGGTCGGTTCGTGCTACAGTAGCGCACTCATCTTTACCATGCATTAAGAAAAACAATAAGTTACCTGCCTGAACACGTATTTCCTCGGATATTACGGTGTACTCCAACACTAAGACTTCTGGTGCATATTAGCTCGGAGCGTAAGTCAGTTATATCGAGGAAGTAAAACTAGTAGAATCATATATTGTTTTTTTTTATTGTGTTCGACTATGTTGCTTGCGAAAGTCTATAGTTAATATATGGTCAAATTAGATTAAGAAAGAGACGTAAAGGAGTATGAAATCAGAAACTCAGATAAAAGCTATTTACTGACATTCAAAGAAATTCCTTTTTAACGACAATTCAAAACTCTATTGACGAGCTTTAGAAATGACTGGCTTCATTTATCAAATAAAAAAAAATAAACGACCGAGTACTATACCACAGTTTTCAGCTTGACGATAAAAAGAAATTAAAAGTTTCGTCCCAGCCCTCTTTTTTAATGTAGGCAGTTCTAAGGGTCGTCTGACAATAGAAAAGGGCGTTTTCTAGCGGTCGCTTTCGCAGTTTTAAGACACTATTAAATAACCATTTTCTTTGATAGTATCAATAACAAGCTGATGAATAAGATCCCGAATACCAGTTATCGACAACATGTACCATACGAAAAATGTGAAGCCAATATTTTTATCACATCTGGTCAGTGAAAGTTAAATACCTCGATATGAGCCACATTTCCTCATCAACGAAATATTTTTTTCTCTTGTTAGTATTGTTAACTGTCATAATGATATGACAACTGTTCACGTGTAAAATGGTATGAAGCCTATTTACGTGTAAAATGATATGATACCTATCCACGTGTAAAATGATGTGACACCTATTCACGTTTCTTGCAAGTTGATATTACACAACTTTAGGTAAGAAAAAAATTAAGGCAATTATAAGATTTCGTTATCAGTTTTTTCTACCGTTGACTGGCTTTATTTTACCAATCAAACAGCTGTAGCCGAACAGTTGTGTGACATTCATTCGATATTTTATCTCAAAGCCACAGAAATTGTTAGATCAAATTCATGATGTGGCTGTAAATTAATTGACAGAAATGTATTGTTGAACTTCTGTTATGTTCATCTCATATCAGTAATGATTGTTCAGGGCGACATGTCATAACACATTAGATGTCAACAGCTAGCATGTGTGACGTACATGTAGTCTCTCTATGTAGTTTAAACATTTTTATCCACTTATATTTACAATATTATCTAATGGTGTGTATACGTATGTTCTTGATAACCATCATATGTGTACATGTAGCAGAGAGGTCTTCAAAGGGCTTTACATAACAGATTGTTTTATCAAAGCTGTCTGATATTTCAATTACCTTATTGATAAGTAATGAGATAATGTTATGATATTGGCAAACACCAAAATAATTATACATTCATTCAAAATTTAAAGGTGGATACAATTAAAGTTGTGTCACAAATAAGGCATTTACATAAACAAAGATCTAATTACATAGTTTATCACCTGAATGACTCTGTCAGATTAAGTACACAATTTGGTAAAATTCCAGAAAAAAAAATATCTTGTTTATAAAACTTTATATAACATTGTTATATATTAATGTACGTCATTTCTACTGAAATAGCAATGAAGTAAACTTCCTGGTTCAGTTCTGAGTATTTAAAAAATATTTATATATACATAAATGTTAATAAATATGTGTCAACATATTGAAGGTATTTTGTAGTATCGGTTTATTTGTAATTAATGATTTAATGAAGTTCCTCAATCTGTGACTTAACTTTTTACGCAGTATCATTACATTCACTAAGTAAAGGTATTATTTACGATATAAAACTTCTAAGTAAACAAGAACAGACTTGATAGTCAGCAAGGACGTGGCTTAATAACATACAGCTTGAAGGTTGAACATTCTTAAAAATTTTAAGTAAATGCTCTGACTCTCTAATAAACAGTGAACGAACAAATTGGCGACAGATAAAGAGAGGGTGACTAGAGAATTACATCAATAACTTCTACAACATATCGTTTTCGCGGTTAACACTATAAATCGGGAAGATGACTATGTTAGTCATGAGATAAATCACCCCCGTGTATTATATTAAATTTACTTAATTGTTATTTATTATCTTGTCAAATTATAGGACAGACAATTGATATATAACGTAATGTCTTAAATACCGTCAAGTGATATACTTGAACAGCGTTTACCTGTAGATGTAATTTATGTCGTTACCAGTACTTAAGAACCTTTAATCTCTATTAGGACACATTCAGATGTACAAATGTACCAAAGAAAATTGTGTGATACTGTTATAACTATCAGTCTACGTTTTAAATAAAAAACAAATTACTTGAGATACTGCAGTACCTTTTAGTATATATTATATGTAACAATAGTTACTGTGATGCAGTATCTATTATATGTAACAATAGTTACTGTGATGCAGTATCTATTATAGGTAACAATAGTTACTGTGAATAGTTACTGTGATGCAGTATCTATTATATGTAACAATAGTTACTGTGATGCAGTAAGAAACAAGAGTTTGGTATAGTTATATCTCTCAGTATCTACTATAGGTAACAAGAGCTTCTGTGATACAGTTGTACCTCTCTATGTGTACTGTAAGTAACAAGAGTTCCTGTGATACAGTTATATCTCTCAGTATCTACTATAGGTAACAAGAGCTTCTGTGATACAGTTGTACCTCTCTATGTGTACTGTACGTAACAAGAGTTCCTGTGATACAGTTATATCTCTCAGTATCTACTATAGGTAACAAGAGCTTCTGTGATACAGTTGTACCTCTCTATGTGTACTGTAAGTAACAAGAGTTCCTGTGATACAGTTATATCTCTCAGTATCTACTATAGGTAACAAGAGCTTCTGTGATACAGTTGTACCTCTCTATGTGTACTGTAAGTAACAAGAGTTCCTGTGATACAGTTATATCTCTCAGTATCTACTATAGGTAACAAGAGCTTCTGTGATACAGTTGTACCTCTCTATGTGTACTGTAAGTAACAAGAGTTCCTGTGATACAGTTATATCTCTCAGTATCTACTATAGGTAACAAGAGCTTCTGTGATACAGTTGTACCTCTCTATGTGTACTGTAAGTAACAAGAGTTCCTGTGATACAGTTATATCTCTCAGTATCTACTATAGGTAACAAGAGCTTCTGTGATACAGTTGTACCTCTCTATGTGTACTGTAAGTAACAAGAGTTCCTATGATACAGTTATATCTCTCAGTATCTACTATAGGTAACAAGAGCTTCTGTGATACAGTTGTACCTCTCTATGTGTACTGTAAGTAACAAGAGTTCCTATGATACAGTTATATCTCTCAGTATCTATTATAGGTAACAATAGTTCCTTTGATGCGATTGTACCTTTCAATGCCTGCTGTAAGTAACAAGAGTTCCTATGATTCGACTTTGCCTCTCAATATCGATAATAAGTAATAAATTGCCCTCTCAGTGTGTACTATCAGCAACAAATGTACCGTCATAGAGTTGTACCTCTCAGTGTGTACTATCAGTAACAAATGTACCGTCATAGAGAGGTACCTCTCAGTGTGTACTATCAGTAACAAATATCCTGTCATAAAGTTGTCCCTCTCATTGTGTACCATCTGTAACAAATGTCCAGACATATGTGTAGTCCTCTCAGTGTGTACTATCAGTAACAAATTTACCGTCATAGAGTTGTACCTCTCAGTGTATACGATCTGTTACAACTGTCCTATCATAAACTTATACCTCTGGTGGTGTACTCTCAGTAGTAGCAAACATGCCATGTTGTAAAATGTTACTTTTCCTGTTTGTACTATCAAAACAATTATCCTTTGATACGAGTATATCCCTGAGTGTACACTATTTATTATCAGTGAAAAGCTTCTACGTGATATTGACATGTACCTGGATTGTGTACTCTCATAAAGTCTTTGAAAGAGAAAAATGATGTTACTGTATGTTGTGTTATATCGGATCGGAAGACCTGTTTCTCTAATAATAGTGCGAAGGTAGTGGTCACGTAGGATAATATGGAACTTGATGTTACTAGCAGCACACGGTCATAGTTCTAGGTAAATCAGACGAAACATATAATGACTATTTGTAACTAAAGCATACTAAAACCGATTCGTGAATAACAGAGGTCAGTCTTTCATGTACATTAACATGGAATGATGCTTAATTCATACGTAGCACATAGTACGTAGTTCAGTAGGATTGATTTCATTTTGTACAAGGTTGCAAAACCACATAAAAGATTAAAAACTTTACCACCTAAGATATGTTGGTTTTTTTGGGCACTGTGATACCTATGGCATAAAAAGTCCATATTAACGAGTATCAAGTTCATAGAAGAAAATGGAGAAGATGTGTCAACTAAACGATGGCAGTACCCTAGCTTTTGATCTGAATCAAGATCGCTTTGAAAATTGCTTCTAAGTCCACATCTAAACGCTATTCCAACATCAAGGGGTACCCTGTCTTTGATGGAATTCTTTATTCAGACAAAGACCGGAACAAAACATGGTGCTAGGCATTTTGTGTTGGCACTTGATCTTAAGTGATAAAAAATAAACATGATCCAACGGATTTTTTTTAATACGAGAAACCGAACTGACAAGGGGAAAAAAATCATAATTTTATATGTACTAAGCTGACTCCTGGGGGTAAAATTCTGTTTGGTCCGAAAACTTTATTGTAACAATACTATATGAAAAACTATGACGGTATTGATCTCTTAGATAAGCGGACTATATCATAAATGGTAATGAACTTCATAGTGTAACAAAGCCAAAAACAATGAAACGAGGTATACAATTTATTTCATTAAGTAGGTTCTTACAAGCCATAGTCAATTAAGTATGATAAAATGTGAACAAAAATACATTCCAATAACAATGACATATAAACATGTTTTAAAAACAACTATGTGCATACTTACCGTCTATCTAGGTTAAGTATATTTGAATTTCGTTCTAATTTTACGCGAGCTTTTTTCTTATTGATTTTATTGTTGTATCTTATTGTAATTCGTAATTTGCCTATATGTATACTTGACTTAAGACGGCATAGGTACATCAATGTCAATATAAACAATATGTAATGAACAAACACGCCAGAGAGAATTCCAAAATTTTCATAGAATCTTAATTCAAACTCAAATTCCTTGAATCTAGGGCAAGCTGTGGACAAAACATATACTGTCACGTCGACTCCTTAAAAAAGTGCAAAAATTAAACCAGATATCCGGAAGACACAGCGTCAGTGATTACTATGATTACCGTAAAACTTCCCTATAATCGTCATCAATTATCATTTGTGAAAACCTATGTTTTGAATTTCTCTGTCAGTTGCCGTCATCTTGCACAAAATTCTGATATCTGGACCAAGCCATTGGGTACTGAATCAATGACGACAAGTAAATACCAGAGACTAGATAACTATTAGGGGATAGCAGTGTCGTGGTATACTTTCACATACTGCGACACTTAGCGGACATTATTATCACGATGCCAATCCTGAAATGTCAAAACGCAGTAAGGTTATCTCTATTCTAGTTCACATCCATTTAAACACAACAACGACAACTTTATGCCATTTTTTCAGAAATTGGTGACTTTACCCAGAATCCATGGCATAGATAACATTCAAAATTAGGCGACCGGTCTGGGTCGGGCCTTTGTTTTTGACGCTCTTACTGCTGAGGTCGTTTAGAGTAATTGATATTATTATCAGTAGTCATCCCGGCTAGATATTCAAATAACAGATTAGCGGACGATGTGGCGAGGCTAAACTTCTTCAATTGACAATCAAATGTCTAGTTATATCTTAAATTATTAGAATAAATGTTCTTTAAGTCGGTGTTGTTTCCCGAAGGGTATCACATAATTTCATCATAAAGTTATCTTTAATTCATTTCTATTTAGATGACTTATGTACAGATACATATATACTGAGTTGTGAAAATCATGTCGTGTGTCAATAAATCGTTAGGAAAAAATAACAAATTCTTTTGAATTATGCTATAAGCAATTTGAGTGTGAATTATGTTGTCTATAAATGACATGGGAAATATGTCAGCAGCTAGTTGTGGTTTGTTTACAAGACTTCCGGAACAATAACAGTTACGTGTGGCAAATATTTAACGATAATTAAAACAATGGCCTCGTTGTTTTTCAATTGTGGACTACCACCGAAATTGTCTTTAGATGGAATTATGAAATACACATATGTCTCCAAACATAAATCCTAATTAATCACAGATCACAATCAAAATATGTAGTGATCATTATAACATTAAGAGATATATTCTGAACAACCTTTATACTGATATTGGAAAGATTTCCGATCACTGTAGAAAATCAAAGTATGCATATTTGTGCTCTTTTGTGTCTCTATCCCAGGCCTTGACTTCGATCTCGGCACCACCAAATTTCAGTTCAACATCAACACCCCTGTTTAACCCCTTGCGAGTGTCGGGCATTTGCACGACAAGTGATCCAACACATTTGCATCCCTCATCCGTGACATACATTGGAGTTTTATCAAGTGAAACATAAATATTGAAATGTACTTTTGTTTGATCTGCTGTCATAACGTTATAGGATTTTGTTTCACAACCTTCACCAACATTTATACGTTCACCTATTTTCACATGAATGCTGAAAACATTTCTACAGTAAAAACCCGTTTCGCTTAGAAACATATACTCAAAGGGATGTTTGGAAGGGTCCCATGGATAGCAGGTGTCAATTCCATATGTATACCTGCTGATCCGTTCTGTGATGGCGTCCAGCTCATGTCCATTGATGACAGCACCTTTCAGAACAGCAAGTCCAGAATCGTGCGGAATGATCAACCTCTTGCCTGGAAAAGTGGAAGAAATCTCATCTTGAAGAAGGGCACACTCGGCAAACCCTCCAACAAGTATGATTGATTTGATCTCCGACACCTCCTGCTGTTCCTGTAGCTCCGCAAGATGACTCTTTATCTTCTGAATGGATCCTGCGAACATGCCTTTGGCGAGGAAATGCTTCATTCGGAGTTTATCAACTTTCCATGTAATGTTGTTGGCATATTTTTTATTTGACATTGCGTTTTCTTCAAAACTCATATCAGGATTCATATCATGAAAAGTCTCCAGCAAACTTACCGGTAAGGTAAAGGTTATCTTAGTCTCCTCTGATGCTGCGGAAGAGATCGATCGCTTCTTTGATTCAAAAATTCGTTGTAACTCCAAGTAATCAGCCTCGTGTTTTTGCTTGAACGCTTCAAATACATCTTCATGAAGGATTTCAGCAAGGACTGCCTCAAACTCCTTGTCGACCATTGTACCTCCCCAGTCTCCGCCGTTGGCCATATACACTTCCTTTAGTTTCAGGCCTTCTTGTACTTCGTGGACAGTGATGTCGACCGTTCCTCCTGTGGCATAAATTTACTTGTATTATGTAGGGTAAGAACTTGCGCACGCGCTATACTTATTATGTTTTCGAAAAGTATATAATAAATAAATAAATAAATAAGTTAATATGGCTGCATAGATGGATAGATATATAATTATCATCATACATATACACATTTGAGGAATATTGCATGTTAAAATGAGATAATGAAACCGATAATTAAAGTACCACCAACCATCTGATCTTCTATTAGCCGAATTTCACATTTTCACATGCGCTTCTAATTTCAACTTTATTGGTAAACATAACTTTGCTATTATTGTACAGTAACTTATGATAATGAAAAACTTTAAGGTGATTATATTGCCATCTTGGAAAGATGAAAGTGAAATAAGACGCCAGTATTCATAACGAATAGTTCGAGTATTTCTTACCCCCTACATCCACAACCATGTATCTTGTACCAGGACTGAAGACGGCAATGTTGTCGCCTTTTTGTCCCACATCTAGGTCCTTTATCGGCAGGTATTTACAGCACAATGCAGCCGCTTCAGCTTCCAGCGACATAACTAATTGGTATCCTGGGATGCCTGCCTACAACGGAAAATCACTAGTACTGAAACAATGTCCAAAAAGAAAACTATGCCTTAACCATACGATATACACCTAGGGAGAGTGAAAGAGGATGAATGGCAGCGTCTGTGTATTGGCTCCATTTGCGCATTCTCTCAAAATAACACAATATCAATATATGATATATACGTTTAGAAAAAGCCTACATTTAAGATCAAAGGAACGTATAATACATTACTAGTTTTGTCACTCATCAGCGACGACAGCAGGGCAGTGTATGTATAAATGCATTACACGGATGCATTACACACGCATCAGATTATTTCAACACTTACTTGTTGAGCACATTCCCTCATAAATTGTTTTGACCTGTCACTCCATATTGCAGGCATGGTGAGGACCCAGCGGACATCTGCCATAAACACCTCCACCTTCTTTTCCTTACAAGTCTCTAATAAATGGTCTTTCATGTACTGGATAGCTGCTGTGAACACTTTCATTGCTAACATTGGTTTCCTATTTTGAGCATAGAGTTTCATCGATCTCGAGATATCCTGAATTAAAACATGATTGAAAATATCAAGAGGAGATTTTCAAATATGCAAAGCAAAGCAAATACTTGGCACAACCGTGTATATACACATTTCCTTGTTAAAGCAGAGTTATATTACCTAGAATCATGTTGTTTCCAAGCAATAAAACATAAGTTATAATTAGTTTTAATTAAAAAAATTGATCATATTTACAATGTCCATAAAAAACCTGTAATATGCATAAATCTAGAAACTACCTTCTGGTCATAAAGGGACATCTTAAAGCGCCGAAAGAAGAACCATTCATGATGTTTCCCTTCATCCATCAACCTAGCGTACTTGTCTTCAGCTTCAAATCCAAACGTATCAAAACTTTCATCGGGCTTAAATAGGACACACGTTGACGTTTTCATAGTGGCCAATTCACTCGAACCTGCTTTCCAAACAGTTGTATTGACGTTCAAAGGGGATTTTTTATAGTCACATTTAGTGGAGAAAGCGTAACCAGAATAGGTTGTACCGAGGTCCATAGCGGCAACAAGTGTATATGGCGAGTCCTTCAAGTCGCGTTTCTGCAAACACAAATCGAATCCGCATTTTAACAATGTAAATGGACAGTATTTTGTTCTTAATTGCAACGGATATTTACAATTAATGTTTAGTTAAACATCTATATTTATCACTTGTCTACAAAATGAAAAAGATATGTAACCGTTTTTAGGCATTCAAGATAAAACATTATACGTTACATCATTATAGGTGTACAAGCTATAAAGCTCTCTTCAGCATACATGTAACTTATTAGTGTCCTTTCATGACCTTCCAAGAATGGGTTTTGGATTATAAAAACTATCGTTGAAAAACCTAACGAACAACGATAAGGTTGCGTGTTTTACTCTTACCTGCACTTTTGGTAATGTTTCGATAACAGGGCTTCTTTTATGTCGTGCGTCAGATGATTGGATCATCGGTGAATGCTTGGATTGTATCTTGGATATCATTTTAACGGTCAAAATCGAAACCTATAACTAAAAACGATACAATATATCGTATCTAGAAATCATTATGAAATTATCGAGAAGAAACTATGTATTTAGTGATGTGAGATCGCACAAGGTTACATGATGAGTGATGTGCACACGATGTATGCACGATTTGTGTTGAGAGGTACACTTGACAAAATATGTTATTTCATAGTTATGTAGTTCTATCAGATACAGACTGAAAAGTTATACAATAATTAAGACTGACCTGTTCACAAAATATCCTACGTGACCAATCTAATTGCACAGACACTCATTATATGCATTATACACTATGTAAACATTAACTACAGTCATATTTTAATCACAGCAATAGATTATCGAAAATCTCATAACGTCAGAAATAGAGGTTACACAACGAGTGGTCATTGTATATTGAATTTATTCAGCTCGAGTTAGTTATTTTTCAAAAATTACAAAAACACTAGCTTTAGCGTGGGGGCGACTGAGGAAATCCAATGTGATCAAAAGAATATTGAAATTCAGATAGGGAGGTTCTCTATAATTCAACAAAGTGCGTGTAATTTTTTATCAACGTCAGAACAGCTATAAGACAAACTAATTGATATGATTGTAGAATATCTAACAATGATATCTGCTTAATTGATAATGAACACGCATTATATAGACAAAAACAGCCTAGTTATGTAGTTCTATTAGATACAAACTGAAAAGTTATACAATAATTAAGACTGACTTGTTCACAAAATATCCTAAGTGACCAATCTAATTGTTCAGACACTCATTACATGCATTATACACTATGTAAACATTAACTAGACTCATATTTTAATCACAGCAATAAATTATCGAAAATCTAATAACGTCAGAAAGGGATTTATTTGACATTTGATGCGTATTACTTATTTTATAAAGACATAATACATAGTCGGGTAAATTGTAAGTGGTATGTTTTTCACACCAGGGATCTAGCCAGCACGAACCTGTCACGTATAAACCTGTTTACAGGTAATTTATTTATCTTATGGACACACCTGTACACTAGAGATAGTAATTAATGCAGGATTCGGTTGCATTTCTAAAGATATCACCTATCGGCCTTGATAATCAACGTCAATATTCGCTATTCAGACGTATACATGTAAATACACGATTTTTGCATTTGATCAATTACGTCAAAAACCACTCTTACCAAACCAAAAAAAATAAATTTTTAACTAAAATCTTGTAACGTCTGTATTACTCTAATTGTTCTGTTATTTTGTAAAGACCAAATATAGACTCAGATGAATTTTAAGTGTTGTGTTTGTTACACTTGGTACCTAACCTGCACAAACCTGAATATACCTGTCTACAGGTTATTTTTGATCCTCCAGGCAAACCAATCATATCCGTATTTTAAAATAATTACATAATTTCCTGTTTACTTTTCTATCCATGATATCAAACAACCATTTTTTTCGAAACCGTTACAATTACCTTCTGGGGTATATCTATCATTTGCCTTTATTTCGATCTCTTCACCGCAAAATTTAACTCATTGCAGTTGTCGAGTAATTACACAACGAGAGACCAATCCCTCAACGGTGACATACATTGACTTTGCATTTGTCAAATGGTAACGTGTTTGGTTTGTACTTAAAACACAATAGGTAGGTAAAATGGATAGGTTGGTAGGTAGTAGGTAGGTAGGTATAGTTATAGAATATTCAACAATGGTATCTGCGTAATTAATAAAGAACACGCATCGTATAGACACAATCAGCGTATTGTACATCAGCTTTTGTATTTTAACGGTAGTCCATAACCCATAAATGTTCAACATCTAACACTTGTGTATCTATCAACATGATTTCTAAGTTTTCAAACATTTCTTATTCACATCCATATTTAGCAATTAGTTATTCCCAAAGCTTTTCTTGTACATCCAGTAGTAGATGTCTAACGATTTGGTTTATTAGAAGTATTTGTACGTGTTGTAATTTCTAACCTTACTGTTTTTCATTGAACTCATACATTTTATTTCTCATTAAGATTTATGACTCACATTTATAAATAGCAGTCAATAAGTCAATTCTGAGTTATATATATATATATATATATATATATATATATAATTTATTTTTGTACCCCATCTTTTTGTTGTACATAAAGACTGAAGTTAATGTCATTCAGATCTATATATTATATAACAACAGTGATTGATATTATGGTTGTATTTGAAATGTTCCTGTCATTTAATAAATGACCATTTGACAACATTTCTTTTCCCTGTTGTTTTTTGTTTTTTTGTTTTTTTTTTTTTTTTTTTTTGTTTATAAGACATGTACAACAAATAACAAGCTGCGGTTTCTGAGCTGGGTTACCATGCTAACATATATATATATTAAATTTCGACAATTTACAAAACAGCGCATGTAAACAACTAAACAATGACAATCTTATAACCCGTCGTGCCGTGAACTGCCTGATTAGTATTAACTGCATGATATGATTCAACAACATGTTTTAATAAACATTTACGTAACTGGTCACACGAAGAATGTTAAAGGAATAAAGATCTACTTACATAGTGTATTTACTGGATTGTTTCAGCCAGAATGGTTACACAGCTATGGTAACAAACAATTTGTCTGTAATGCTTAATAGACCTGTGTAATGGCGGTCAGTACTATATTAAAACTAATTTAGCTTCCTGTTTCAGGTCTAGGTATCGAGATAGAGGATATATACACATTGGTGTTTATCTCCGTTTAAGAAAACAACCTGCAGAAACATATGTACAACTATTATTCTTATCGAGCGAAATACCATTATAACCTTTAAACCTTTATGGAATGCCATAAAAGAGAGTAAAATCAAGTAAGCATATACAGGAACAAACTAGATCTTCAAGTAGATAAGGTTAAGCATACTAAGTAAATAAACTCAAAATATTTTAGAAAATGCTCATCAAATAATCAACAGATAGGGACAGAGTGACAAATACATGAATACATATAAATGCAAGTACAGAAATAACTCCTACAGTAGTCATGTGAAAAAGTAGACATATATCATATGTTGCATAATTCATTTTTTTATCTGTTCTAATACTTGTACAAACATAGGATATAAGAAGAATTGTCAGACACCTCCTGGGGACATATTTACTCAAAACTTGGTTTAAAAGGAGATTTATATGGTATTAGTTCTTCTGCAGATTTGAAGTGTGTAGCCAGTCGTACGTTTCTATGCTATCAGTGATAAGATTCCCCGTGATAAGGTTGTACCTCTCGGTGTCTAATAACACAAATGGTAACAAATATGATAACAATAATGAAAGTAATAACAAAAATCCCTGCAATACGGTTTTTTACTACTCATGTGTAATTATCATTGACAAACAATATACCGTTTACATTTATATATTCCCCGTGGTAAGTTGTATTTCTCTGTCTCCCATGTGATATGGTTGTATCTCTTAATCTGTACCGTTAGTGATGAATTTCGGTGTGTACTTTCAGTAGCAAAAATTCGTGTGATGCCGTTATGTCTTTCACTGTGTACTGTCAGTTACCGTTTGAATACATATATACAGGTTCCTATTGTGTTGAAATTGAATCCAGATTTGTAAGAATGTAGCAGAAAGCTTTCGAGGACTTTAAAACTGCACCTATAAAATTGTTTGATGAAGCCACCTCAAGGTTTTTACGAAAGATAATCACATTTGCCTAGCAAATTTAGATACATATAATCACCCTTTATATGAAAGTTCAATACAATAACCTAGATAGTAAATTGTACAATACACCGTATACTACCAGTCAATAGAATCATTATCGACATAAAACGTCATCTTGTCTGAAACATATCGAGTACGAAAAAATTCCAGCAATTATAAACATTGTTTAAATATTCATATAATTTAGTGTAGGAGCGAAACGAATACAAACTTTACAATACACTGTACATCCATATGTCTTTTAACTTACAGTCTACATGTATATAGAATTTACCTGGCCTATTTCAAAGTCTTTAATAAATCGTAGTTTGAACAAACCTTGCCAATATTTTGCAATAACATTTTTGAGAAATCTTTGTCAAGCGTCTAAATTGCGCTCTAGGTTCTATTCTTCTATTGTACACAAAGGATATGGTGATTACCTCCAACAAAGGACTACTATTTGCGTCGAGAAGTTTTTGTTTTAAATTCAAGCAAATATAAACATGATCCCGTCTCCTTGATGATATCATCTCTGCTGTCTCAATTACCCTTATTCCGGTTTGGCAAGTACAGGATACCTTCATTGGACGCAATTTGTGTAACATGATACATGTATCATGTTATTGTAAATTATTTGTAAATTAAGACACAATCTGATCAAACTTGTTTAAGTCACCAATGTATCGCTAGGTTTTAGTACATAATACATATATATGACAGTGCGGGTATCTGATGTACCTATTGCGTAAATGCATTTGGCAAAAAGAGAGCAATGTTGAAAATATCTCCCCAAACGCATATAGGTATTTATTGAAATGATAAAACCACATATATCACAAAGAGAAGCAAAGAACTCAGTACAATGTTTTGAAAAAATATTGATTTTATTGATACGTAACCGGCACCATTATTACTAAAAGCAGTGACATAAAACATCTTCCGAATAACATTATTGTACAAAAAAGTACCTAATACAACATTACTTATAGGCGAAATATAATTAATGTTATCACCTCTTTTATTGAACACCATAGCAAAACACCTTATTTGCAAATATTAGCATTCCTAATCCATGGGGCTGTCTGTAAACCGAGTTTAACTTGTACTAAACTTAAAATGCAATATACTTTTTTTAATGTATGTTCCGTTATGCAGAACTGTAGTTTTAATGATGGACATTGTTTCTATTTCCAAAACTTATACATAATCGCATGCTCCCGTCGTGTCGCTTTGTGTCACTTATATTAGCATTAACTGTAGTTTGCTTACAGAGTAGCATTGCATTAAGTACATAAAAAATGTCATCCTCAATTACTTATTTACAGACTGAATTAATTAGCAAAAAATGATAATAAATTTTATATTTTATATAAGAAAGATGCATTGGTATTATATTGCATTGTGTGGACGAATTGTAAAATAACGCATTACATCCTACTCTTAACAATTTCCTGATGCTTAGGTTTTGATCGGAAACTCCCGCGTTTTCCAATGATATAGTTTGTATAAATTCGTACCATAACATCTGATACATTACAGGAAATGAAGCTGAATGATAAAACTAAAATCATAATGTCGATAAAAGAAATTATCTTTTTATATTTATATTTTGCATCCTGACTTTTTAATTTAAATCAAGATTATATTCAAAAAGGTATGGATGCAGTCTGGACCACAGGATAATAACATGACGTCATTTTGACGCCATATTGACTGAATTTAAGCGTCGACTGAGTAACATGCATTATAGCTTTGCATTTATCATTTTGATGATTATAATTCCCAAAAAGTTTTTCCAGTATATAAATATACAGCGAGCAAACCAATTTCAAATTAGAATAAAAACCATGGAAATGTTTTAAATGGTACCCGAAATGTAAATATGACTGAATGTCTCATATTGAATTTTTCGTCACAGTGAATGCCATCTAGATGCCAGATAAGTATCATGACGTCCAAACGGACAACTCACGTGTCAGTGATTTCCTGATATTCACAAATATAAAGTAGTATTACTTGAACGGTAAAAATAATAAATCAAATAAAAGCTCCATTTAAAGTATTACTATATTGATTTTAAACGCATATCCTATTACTATTGTTTAAGATATCGTTTTCCTTATGGATACGCAGCGAAACTTCTGGTTTTGCCGTAGCCTCTAATATACCATCTTCCACCAAACCAGACAGATACGATTCAACCTGACTAATCTCTAATACTAGCCCAAAAAGTTGAAATAGGCTTTATGCTCCTCTCGGGAATGTATGTCGTACGCGGTGACCTCGATCTCTGCTCCCCCAAAAGTAAACTCTACGTCGACACCTCGGTGTAACCCTCTGTCTGTGTTGGTCATTTCTACTATAAATTCGCCAATGTTTTCACAATCGTCCTCATCAATATAAGTCGGATTGGGGTTTTTGGATGTGTATACCAGGACAGGGAGTTTTGTTTGGTCTTTTTCCATTACCCAGTATCGCTCAGTACTTCCGATCAGTCCAACGGGCACCTGCTCTCCTTGTTTTACGTGTACACAAAAACACCCATTGCAAAGTGTCTTACCTTCATCAGTGAATTTGCGGCTTTCGTCATGAATTTTTGAATCAAATGGCATATTGGTTCCAACCCCGTACGTTAAACGACTGATACGCTCAGTAATAGCGTCTAGCTCGTGGCCATTTATGACTGCGCCTTGCAGAACTGCCAATCCGGCTTCCTTTGGAATAATCAGCCGCTTCTTTGGGAACTTTTTCTCGATTTCTTCCTGCAGTAAAGGACATTCGGAGTAGCCACCTACCAGAAGGATGGCTTTGATGTGTTCTATTTCTGGTTTACGCAGAAGGTCGCTTATATGATCAATAATTGTTTTCACAGATTTGGAATATAATTTTTTTGCAAGATTCTTATCTAGCCGCATCTTATCCAAATTCCATGTAATATCTTTATCAAATTTTGATTTTAGTCTTTGTGAGATATCCACGTTGGGGTTCATCTGTTCAAAGGTATCAAGAAGACTAATGGGGAGTGCAAATGTTATTTTAGATCCCTGTGTCGAACTAATACTTCGCTTCTTAACTTCGAATGTTCTTTGTAGTTCTAAATAGTCTGCCTGGTTTTCCTCTTTGAATTTTTTGACGACCTGGTCACCCAATATCTCCGAAAGTAGTTTCATAAATTCTGTGTCGACCATTATGCCACCCCATTCACCTCCATTTGCCATATACAGCTCCTTTAGTTTTAGGTCGTCCTGTACTTCATGTACGGTGATGTCTACGGTGCCACCTGGTGGTTAACAAAACAGTTGTAAATTAATGTAGTAGCTGGCTTATAATAAGTACATCCTGGGCTATCAATGATAAATATTCCCTGAGTATAAAACACACACTTTCCTAGTGCAATATCAATGGTCAAGTAACGAATAACAGAAATCACATACATATCATACTTGTAACATAAACAAATATAAAATAATAATTTTTAAAAAAAAACAAGAAAAATATGAAACAAGATAGCCTGTGTAGTTTTTATACATCAATGTTATATATAATCAATGTAAAGCATTATCTAAGATAGCTGGTAAAGTCATTAAGATTAGCAAGAATGTTCATGATTAGAGATACAGAACATAATTTGCAACATGCGAAACATAGAATCTACCATATATTTTTATGTGTGTTAAAATTGAAATGACATCATATTATAACAAAACAATAACGGCTACAAATCATGAAGTGATTATTGGATCATAGATTTTCACTTTTTCAAATACGGGATGGAATTTGCTTACATTATGGACTGTTTCTCTACGATGAATCATAAAACGACAAATAAGTTCTATTGTATGTATTGTAGCATATATAAATGAACACGAACCTCCAACATCTAACACTAAGTATTGTGACCCAGGCTTGAACACAGAGACGTTTCCTCCTTCACCTTTGGCCATTTCTGTCACAGGTAGATATTTGCAGAATAGCGCAGCGGCTTCAGCTTCGAGAGACATGATTAGCTGGGGGCCTGGAATGCCCGCCTATGAAATAAAAACCCTAGGCATAATATTCAATGTATGGAGAGAATATCTAACGGTTTTCTCTTTAATACCATGTATGTTTAACGACCGCTTCCGGCATGATTTGCATGCACATTTACTTGCTAATCTAACAAGTGTCATTTTGGCAATGCTTCAAACATCACTTACGCATTTACTTATATTTTCAAACATATTTTTCAGTTTATTACGAAAAAAAAGCAGTAAGAAGGAGACTGCGTTGGTTGGGGGGATCATTGCTTGATTGCAAAAAGACACTCAAGTAGGTAGCACATTTCAAATAACAAATTAAACTGACAATAGAGAACCTCGGCATTGCTTTTGTGTTTTGGATACGTTTCACGAATAGGAATACAGTTTCCATGTACATCAGTGATTGCTCATGGACGAGATATAATTCGTCACCGAGGTGTTCAGCAGCGTTAAAGTGTGCATTTTATATACGTCCGCGACCTTACTCAAATATGCATCATATCTTATAAAATGCGTTTTGATAAGACTTTTGATGACATTTTATGAGGTGGTCATCCTGTTTGCATTTTCCTACACCTATATAATCAGTTGCAATATTAGACTTAAAAATTAATTTATTGTCTAATAATGGGACATTGCAATTCAAAGAAGAATACAACATGTGCATAAACTTAAACATACCTGTACAGCACATTCCCTCATAAACTGCTTTGCACGATCATTCCAGATAGCAGGTATTGTGAGGACCCAACGTATTTCTGACATGCTGACATCAACACCTCGATTCTTGCAAGAGTCTAATAAATGGTCTTTGAGGAACCGGATGGAGCATGTAAACACCTTCATAGCTGTCATCTCTTTCCCATTGCTTGATTTCAGCTTCATACTGCGGGATATCTCCTTAAGAAAACAAGACAGAATGATAGCAAAGAAAATGCAAAACAAGCACAGTCTTCTTCTTCTTCTTCTTCTTCTTCTTCTTCTTCTTCTTCTTCTTCTTCTTCTTCTTCTTCTTCTTCTAATCATTCATGATTTCTTTATTACTTGGTATTTTCATACGGCAAAAACAGCAATGGCAGATTTCTACTTATGCTTTTATTATAATTATGTAATTATGGATAAAAAATGTGGGGAAAGGTTATCAAAATGACCCCTTTAACATTTCTTTCGCTTGAGCAATATATAAGTTCAGTGTAATCTATACTTGTTGGTATTGCTGCTGTGGTCGTCGTTGAAAAATATCATGAAAATACAAACATGTGAATCTTATCATAAGCCAAACTCAAAATCAATACGACTAGGTCAAGACAAGATTATTAATGTTCATTAACATGCAAATTTTTGAAAACCTGTGTTATACGTTCGTGCATAAAAGGCTTGATATTGGGAACAAGCCCTTGAATACCGAATCAACTGTGACAAGTAAACACCATATGTTAGGGATGTCGGAGTGCTGATGTACAGGAATGGTAAATTCACAATAGGAAAATTAAAACCATCGCGCTTATTTTACAGCTTGGTGGAAAACAGTTCATTTTGATTTCGATCAACGAATAGATACATGTAAGGTGTCGTCGATAAAACAGAAAAGGCCTTCCTTTCCGGAACAACTAGCCACGGGATCACAAAACCAACAACTTTATACATATTTCTTTCCTTTAAATTTCAACTCAGTTGATTTTTGTGAGTATCTAAGTCTTTACTTTCGATATGTGTATTTTAGATATTGATATTGAGAACAAGCTCCGGAAATATCCAATCAATCGCTTTTTACAACATAGTTTGTCGAAAGCTGATCATATGGCTTGCATTACAAATAATCAATCTTTTTCTATGACCTTCCATTAGTTGGATTATACACTTCAAAAGTAAATAAGATATAATAACATCATTTATGGAATGCAGAACATGTTATAAAACAATATGAGTATTTTGTAACATACCTTTTCTTCATAAAGCGTCATTTTGAAGCGACGAAAGAAAAACCAGTCTTTGTGTTCATTCTTCTGCATTAAATCAGCATATTTGTCTTCAGCTTCAAATCCAAAGGAATTCACTGTCTGGCTTTTATCAAAGAGAATACAGCTTGATGTCTTCAGAGACATCAAGTTCCCTGAATTGGCAGTCCATGTCGTGTTATATACTTTCAATGGGTTTAAGTTGTGTTCGAATTTAGTAGAGAAAGCATACCCAGAAAATGTTGAACCGAAATCTATCGCTGCTACCATCGTGTAAGGGATGTCTTTGAGGTCTCTTATCTGGAATCGAGAGCAATTTGATTTACGACAAAAGGTGGTGAGTTAGGAACTCGAATAAAGTTAGTGGTTATGCAATATTGTCTTTTTCTTTCTCTAGCCCAATATTTGACCTGTGTCTTGACTATCGCTTAATTGCATATTGGCAATACAATTGTCTTATCCTTGGTGTGTTTTTGCTAGGATCACCATTTACGCATTTCGTTTATTCGTAGTTTGTCCCCTTTTTATCGATTTTGAATTTAATTACGATTTTTTGACATATCATTATTCTCATTGATTGACTTAATAATATAAAGTACAATTGAAGATATTATTCTGATGGCTGTATATTGGTAAATAAAATACGCCGGTCATACCCTTATACATTTGGTCTTGGTCTTGTCAACATGCGTCGAAGTGTCATGTCTACCAACCGGTTTCTGGGCCATGTTCTACAAGGAAACAACAGAGCATTAGAAAGTATGTAGGAATATGCTCAGAGTTAAATTTGCACCCTGGAACGTAAGTACCCGATAACGTGATAACATATGAGTAATCAACGTGTAACCTAAAGGAGGGAAACACAGATCGTATATCATAAATTGACAGTTATTTATCATATTTTCCTGATATGGAATAAATGTATTCATGCATGTATGGTGTTTTATCTGGCTATTTCAAAGTTAACAGCATAAAATGCTGTGATATTTACCTGTATCAAAGAACAACACAAACCATGTCTTATTATTTAATCCAGGAAAAATCGCATTCATGCATTGAGAAATCCACAGATGAATGTCAACATAACTGATTGATGTGATTCATTCGAAACCAGACGCCATTTGTCTGTGCTGCCCATATCAACAAATAGACAATTTGGCAAATAATACTAAAGTGATAAATTATACAATAGATTCCGTACGCATCGCTATATTCTATATGTATACCCAAAGTCTTTTTAATGTTCACCTCTGTGCACATGTTTTCTGGAAACGCAAACTCTACAAAATTGTTTTACTTTTGTTTACTGTCATGCACTACTGAAATTTCTTTTTCAGTTTCGATATGTCTTTGTTCTTATTCTTTCTATTTTGATTTAAAATCTATTTCTTGACTTCTTAATCACAAACTGCAAATGTCTTAACGACATCTTTCGTCGATCTCTAAATTGCAATTCCCAGAGACAGTCCACATGATCAAACTTGTCTCAAATATCAATTCTATTGGTAAGACGCGACTTAACAAGGCGGTTAGAACTTTGGAAAATTCCTGATATAATAAGCGGTAGAAAAGGAGTTAGATTTGATATACCGAGCTCGATAACAAGGTAGTAAAATGTGTTAGTCACCGAAAACACAAATACCAGCTGTAAAATCGTGTTAAATATCGTTATTGGGCAGATATTGTGGAAACAAGTGTGGATTGGGTTTACAATATATCTTTAACTGTCAAAAAGGCAAATAATACATCCGTGCAATTACTTAAGCGATATTCAGTTGTGTATGGAAAAGGTGTATAAGGAATACACTATATGTGCAATGTTGCGAGTATGTATTAGTAACAATTTAGCACTATTGTAAGCCGTCATGGTGGGTTGCCGATTTTATCGTACTGATAAGTACAGGCGATATTTGATATCGCAAGCAAATCACAATCCTATCATACACTGTAAATAAATTGGAAAAAAAACCCTGTTCAACAATTTTTATTTTATTATCATTGCAGATGTATTTCAGGTGTATCATCTTATAAAAAAATTTAGTTGGTTGACGCTGAATTAGGCTAATGTAAATGTTAACTAATTATTCTGAAGTAGCAAATATATCTCCGTTGATCAACGGTCTGTATAAGCAAACGTTTGCGTCATATGTGATAACGCATTCGAACACATTACATCAGTAATCAAGGATAGCTAACCACGTACATTTATCACGGTTAAAAACAAAATGTCAGCCAAAAAGGGAAGAATGTCCAGACAGGCAGCAGAACAACCTAGAATTTCGTCGGGGATGTTTACAATGCCGGATGGAAATCTCTCAGACGGGAATGCACTAACGACAATGTGTGTCTTCTAATGGATTGACTGACAGACTGATCAATTGGAAATAGGTTGTTTACAATACATTTTTGGCTGGAGTGTCAAAGTTACAGAAACGATGGCTGCTAATGTCACATTTCCGTTATTCCGAATCAAATATGAGTTATCAAACAATGTCTACGTGTCCATAACATAATCTAGGTGCTGGAAAGCTGTTGTTTACGTACTGTGTCACTACATTCTTTCTCCGTCTTCAGCCGTATTCGTGTATGCAAATGATTTACCTCGTTTTCGACAGAAACTAACTCTTAATGTTATCGAGTCTAAATTGTAGGGCGTTTAACCGAAGAAATAAAGTGGCCAAACTGGACACTAAAATTCAAGTGTGAATATCAGAATAACATAGAAACATAACTGGAAGCATATGAAACAATGCAACAAATCTAAAAAATAACTTTTCAACTTTACCGCGATGTGCCTTAGTGATTAAGCTTATGCCGAATGATGAAACAGTGCGTAAATGTAGATAAAGTGGGGTTAAAACAACACAACATTACAATGTATACTTACCTGATGGCGGTGTGTCAGGTCTGTCTTTTACAGTCAGATATTACGTGTGGTTATATATGTATCGATCTGAATGCACTGTAGTTTCAACTCTTAACAATTCCAACGGAGGTCTGTTGTGTATACATATCTTTACTTCTAAGTGGTATTGATATTAGCCTTATTCTGATATCGTCACTGGTAAATTACTTCCTGGTTTCAGATCTCACGTGATACTAATGAGATATTATGGCCCGATAACATTCTGAAGAATTAAAGGCAAGATCAATCCACGTAAACGGCTGGTCGATACTTTGTAAACAGGGTACGATCCAGCGAAAACGACAGGTGAGTAGAAATTATTGTTTACCATAAATTATATTACGTAATATAGCACGGCCACTCGATAACTTTATAAACAGGGTAGGATATCGAGAAGAAGAATGTTATCACTCGTATGTAGGATCTTAACAAAGTTTACATTACGTATAAATCGCGGGCCCCGTCGATAACTTTATAAACAGGGAGGAATTCCGTGAAAAACAGGTGAGCACTCACATGCAAAATTGTTTACCAGAGTTTACATGACGTAAAATAGGACGACCAGTCGATAACTCTGTAATCAGGACAGGATCCCCGTGAGGAAAATAGATGATTACCATATTTAAACATGTCTGTATAGCCATTCTGAAGAGTCCATTGACGAAATGTAAAACGATATATTTAAATATATATAGAGAGAGAGTGAGAGAGAGAGAGAGAGATGATATTGAAAAAAAAAGAATTCTTAATCAGTTAAGACTCATTGCTTTAAATTTGTCGAAGTTGTTTAAATATTCATATAACATACTGTAGGAGCACAATGAATCCTTACAATACACTGTACATGCATATGTCTTTTAACTCACAGTGTACATGTATATAGAATTTACCTGGCCTATTTCAAATTCTTTAATAAATCGTGGTTTGAGCAAACCTTGCCAATGTTTTGCAATAACATTTTTGAGTAATCTTTGTCAAGCGTCATGATTGCTGCATTGGTTACAAGCTTGCCTTTAACAAATGTATCTAAGCGCTCTAGGTCCTATTCTTCTATCGTATATGAAAGGATATGGTGATCACCTCCAACAAAGGACTGCTATTCGCGTCTAGAAGTGTATTAGATATATGTAGTCAGCATGTTTCTATTTTAGATCAGTTTATCTAAACACACCTTTTCAAACCCATCAGTTGTGACTAACACATTATATGAATAACACTAGTAGAAGAATTAAAAGCGGGTCAATGAATAAGATGGAGCATTGGAAAGCATAACGTTTTGTGTACTTTTATCTTCTTTCATTGAAAAATATTACTTTATATTCCTCTGATATCCTTCTTTGAATCTCCAAACTTAATAATATCAGGTTTCATTATCTTATACATGTACAGAAAATATGTTTAAGCAAATGGTTTTGTAATGTTTCTTTAAAACACACTCAACAGAGAAAGTTTCCAACATTCGCTAACACACAATCACTCCCAACAGACTTTGTAACAATAAATAAGCATATCAAATATAACTATTAACCAATATAATAATTTACTCATAAGATCATTATATTACATATCGAATAAATACATCGATAGTTTACCTTATTGACTTTGTTTTGGGCAATGTCCTCATTCAAAAGTTTATTGAAAAAGTAAAGTATAATATTATCAGAACAAGCCCAACAAGAATAAACTGTATTCTTGTATTAAACTAATATCTAAATTCCGTAACTGTCTGCATGTGTTGATGATAAACATAATCGCAAAGCATTTAGTTTGCAGAAAGTGCAAACGATTTGTTTTGAATTCTTTTGGAACAGAAACGTATGACAATGAAAACATTATACGCACTGTATGGTATCAGATTTTCTTCCGAGGCGTATTTTAATTCAGGTGGTTTTTTTTCAAAGTTATCATTATTGATATTGTAATATAAAATTTCACCCAAAGTGTAATACTTTAATTACAGTATCACCATGATTTTTTTCTAGCCATGCCTGACCATCCTTTGGTAGTTGCTTTGGACTTCGGAACCACTAACTCCGGTTACGCTTTCTCCACTAAGCATGACTACAGCATTTCTCCCTTGAGCATGTCTGCAGTATCCTGGGGAGCCGGTACCGCCAGACTTCAGTCTCAAAAAACCCCAACGTGTATTTTATTTGACAAGAACAAGACGTTTGATTCTTTTGGTTACAAAGCAGAAGACAAATACTCCGATTTATCACTGGACGAGGAACATGACGACTGGTACTTCTTTCGGAGGTTCAAAATGGAGCTTTACAATAGAGGAGTAAGTGTTTGTATTCTAGTTAACATACTTGTGCAATCCAAATACAATTGAAATACTCTCAAATATTTCATATGAGAATTGTTACTTTGAAGTTAAAAATATATTTTTATAAAGAATGCAGACTGTTTGAAATGTTTTACTTAGACAAGACCTATACAAATATATTATATGTAACAATAAGTTCTATGAAAGTTTGAATCTAAAATAAAGACTTTTTTGAGACGTAAACAAAAGTAAAAGAATTATTGTTCCAAAAGTCTCGTTATGAAGGTGATAAAACGTAACAACAATGTCTTTCACAACAGAACATTGATGGTGGGTTCGAACTGAAAACTCAAGATGGAAAGAAATCGATGAAGGCAATTGATGTATTTGCTGCTAGCATCAAATACTTAAAAGATCATTGCCTCGAAACTGCCAAAAAGCAGGGCGTTAGCTTCTTGGACGAAGAGATCCTGTGGATCCTTACAGTTCCTGCCATATGGACAGAGCCTGGAAAGCAGTTCATGAAAAAAGCAGCTGAAAAGGTAAAAATCACATAAACCAAATCACAAATCATGTGCTATACTTCTGCAAAGGAAAATCTTTCTTATTCTAACTTACTCCACTAAATTTACGGAAAAACGGTTCATAATATTTCCAACATGATATCTTGATACCTATTTGTTTGATCATCAGGCAGGTCTTCCTTCCAAACACCTCCGACTTGTGCTGGAACCAGAAGCTGCCGCTATATTTTGTACCAACTTACCAATCGACAGGATGTCTGTGGAAGGGTCAGGAAGTAAGCTGACAGTTTTCCAAAAAGGAACCAAATTCTTGGTCCTGGATGCTGGAGGTGAGCGTTGTAATTTCAGGTCATCGTATCTCTCATGACTTGGGTATACTTAATAATTATTTATTTTATTGCAGTGAAATTAAAAGCTGGTTGAAAAGTGAAAAAAAAGATATTATCACAGTGCAAAAACAGCGTTTTTTGTTCACTTATATTTTACCAATTAGATCACAGTTTATACTAGAAGATATTAATCTCTCTCTCAGAGTAATGTGGTTCCATAATAAAGAAAAATACACTAATAGAGATTGTGAAAAGTAGACTCCTGTAATGCTGTAGCTCACTGATCCTGTGACTTATATCAGTTTCCATAAGATATGAAATATATCCTATATCCCATCTATGATTCTGAAATATAATGAACAGTCCCTCTGCCGTAAATTAGAAATGGATCTTTCTGGTAAATAATTCAATTGTATAGAACAGTTAATGTACAGTACATAACTGTCAAGTATGGTTACATATCTGCTTACTTTGACTTCCTGATCTAGGTTGGTGATATATATATATATATAAATATCTAAGTAACCCCCTACTTGCTTTGTCTTTCTTATCCAGGTTAGTGATCTATCTATGTAACACCCTGCTTACATTGACTTCCTCATCTAGGGTGATGATATATATACATGGTGGAAGTGTATTTATGAGAGTCCGTGACACTTTGTTGGGGGATCTTTTAATTTGGTGCATATTTTCTTCTTGAAGGAGGTACAATAGATCTTACAGTTCTTGAGGTACAGAAAGACGGAGACCTTAGGGAAGTTCATAGAGCAAACGGTGGTGACTGGGGAGGAACTGTCGTTGACAGAGAATTCGAAGAACTTTTGAAAGATATCGTTGGTAAGGACCTCTTTCAAAAGTTTAAAGAAGAAAATATATCAGACGTGATGAACCTTTACAGAAACTTCGAATTGAAAAAACGAAGTATCAAACAGAATGAAGAAGGACTCGTCACCTTCACCATCCCACCGATTCTACAGAGACTATTCCAAAAAAAGAACAAAGGTGGCGATACGAATGCTTTGATCGCGTCCAACAAAAAATATGCTGATGTAATCTGGCAGACTGACAAACTTCGGATACCTAACACACTTGCTAAATCGTTGTTTGCTAAATCCATCGATGCTATTATCTCTCATGTGAAAGACCTTTTCAGCAAACCGGAAGTTAAAGGAACATCGATCATTCTGATGGTCGGTGGCTACTCGGAGTGTATTCTTCTGCAGGATGCCGTCAAATCAGCCATCAAAGGTCCGAAGGTTATTGTTCCATTAGATGCCGGTTTGTCAATTTTGAAGGGTGCCGTGATCAATGGACATGCACCTCGCATCATAACAACCCGGATTTGCAGATTCACATACGGTGTCGCCTGTAACAGGAAGTTCAGAGAGGGTAAAGATAAAGAAGAATACAGGGTGCGAGGAGCAAGGGGAGATAGCAGATGTGTTAATGGGTTCAAGATCTATGCTCAAAAAGGCACTCCCGTGGAACTTGGATCGTCTGTTCAGAAGTTCACTTTCCATGTCAGCAGTCCAACGGAGACTGGCATAGATCTCCCCGTCTACGCGTCTGACGACCTCAATCCCGATTACGTCACGAACGAAACGTGCCAAAGGATAGGCATGCTCCGAATCGAAATGCCGGATACTTCTAGAGGATTATGCCGGGAGGCGGAGGTAAAAATGATTTTTGGAGGAACAGAGATCGAGGTTGAAGCAGTAGATCTGGAAACAAAAAAGGAAACGAAAGCATCCTTTAGTTGTGTTGCCTAGAAGAGATTTTGATTCTGAAATTATCATTTCCAGTGATATATTTAATAACGCAATAATATCAAGTAAAAAAGATGTACTTATTAATATGACTGAATTGAAAAAGATAACTTTTTCTCTTACCCCGAACAGGGATATCCACAGTTTTTACCGGTGTGAGATTTTTCTCTCTCACCCCAGGGTTGAGACAAGCTACACGCGCTCCTTGCGCGTTCTCAACAATAATGTGACGTCGCTATCTTGACCCGGAAGTGGAACTTGACGTGTAAATGACGTCATTGTAAAATAACGATTTAATAATTTGTGTTGACTTTGTGTATATATTGAAGTCATCTCATCTATACTTTCGCATTCAAATTAATTTTATCATTATTATTATGCCTTTTTATGTTTTACTGTACCGTTAATGGGAATTATATTTTGTGCTGGATATCATAATTAAGCGTGACGCAGTTGAGAGGGCCTCGTCACTATATTCATATGTTTTCTTCGAGTTTTTGTTTACAAACATTCTATTTCGTATTTTTCAATCAGCGGCGGAACAGGGAAGAGAAAAATAATAATTCACCCCCTTTGGGATGAGACAGGGAGATCTCAACCCTAGGGGGTTGGGGGGAGAGGTTATTAAGTTGTCAAACACTCGGTAAGCCTCGTGTTTGACAACTTAATAATCCCCACTCGGGTTAAGATCCCCCTGTCTTACCCCAAAGGGGGTGAAAGATTCTATTAGTCAACTTTGTCAGCTTACAACTCAGCAGATGACACCAAATAATACCATACCTTATTGAAGCCATTTAACAACTGATATATTCGATCATCCATAACAACCTAATGACGGCACACCGTTATAACTTCAGTAAATCATAACATTGAAATGTCACGAGTATAATAGTGTTGTGTACTATTAAATCATAACTGTTTTAATTGGTCCGTGTTTGTGGCAGACGAAATGTTTAAGTTGACAAATATTGCGTGGAATAAATATACAATATGATTTTGTTTTTTGACTCCATGCCTGTTGAGATAGTAGAGGTGGAGCTTAGGAGGGTTCAAAAATGTATTACCACTTTTTCCGAGCATATATGCTGTACCTTACCACTGGTCATTTCTATTATATTTGATTGAAAATTTTGAAATTGAAGTCATTATGTTAACCTGACTGGAACAGACATCCCAAGATCATGTGCCAGTTACAGATTGAATCCCTTGTGATGGTAGCCAGTGTGCCTAAGGTTGATAATAGGAAGTTTATAGCTAAGTTCAACGTTATGTGTCAAGAGGATAGACCAGTCATAAATTCGTTCTTAAGATCTTATATTTATTTGGAACAAAACATATAAGTTTTCAGTGAATCATTCAGGTTTAAGAATTTTTGATAATCCTCTATTTTCACCCTCCAAATATTAGCGATAAGTCCCCACAGAATTTTATGTTTTGAGTAGGTACTTAGAATGGCCCCTAAATTGTCATCCCTCCTTTAGGAATCAACTTTATCAGATACATTAATGATACGAGTGTTTGTCCCTACCATCAAAGTCATCTTCATTTACATTCCATGTTAGATTTAATTCTACGAATTGTATCTCGGTTGGATCTGTTTACCTTGAACACATTAGAGGACTGTTTAAAAGCCAACGTCGCATACCAGGTATATTGAAATCAAATAATTATTTCAGTTAACACCAGCATATTGAGCATCATCAGTTTGTGATGCATAACGGAAAGAAGTCTCTCCTTTCAACTAAAAAGACACAATGTATTTTCACCTAAAATGGCCACCACAGGTAACATCCAATGATAGTTATAGATATTCTTTGTTCATTTTTAACAATTACAAAATTTTGAAGAAGTCCACAGGAAAACAAATCACATATCGATTAACTATCTAAATTATAACATTTCTGGTGTCAATCTACATACGAGTCCCTAGTCCATGATCATATACCTTTGATTGGTTTCATACAATTTTCTTAAATACTTAAATTTCGTGGACAATTTTTTTTAATATCAGTTGAAAAAAGAACTCGAGAAAATGAAGTGTACACCGACAACTTGCATTTCACTCTTGTCGGTTTGGCGGATCTATCATAAATGAATATATGTTGTTCTTCAGATGTACACTGTCTCCATCACAAGTGTCAAATAATGATATAGAAATCATTCCTTGAGTAAGAACTGTCGTCCTTGATAAAGCTACTCCAATGTTCAGTTAAAGAATTCAAGATAAAATACGACACTGATCAACTTATCTTTTACTATTTCAGTGATTTCTGTATATAATATATGCATTTCTCTCATATCATCTATATCGTTTTTAGACAGAATTGTGAACGTGTTCGTATTTTCAGAATATGTGTGCTACCTCTTCATCCCTATCGAAGAGAGAGAGAGAAAAGGTGTTGTTATGTGACCGACCAGAATACATTATAGATTAGCATTGGAAATGGTTTACTAAAATGAGATGAATTGTGATGTACAGCAAGCCTGCACATATTCTTGTCACCTAGAGTTATGGCCCTTCGTTTATTTTTGTCAGCTTGACAGCCAATGGGCTCGTTACATAGAAATCAAGTCATATACTATTTCGCATTTTTTTTAATTACAACATAAAGATATATATAAAAAAAAATGATTTGTTCGCAAATTGCTGAGGCGTTATATTTAGTGTGCCTGCTTTCCTTATATTTTTATTTATGTCTTATACACGTTAGATTCGCACCCCGAAAACGTAACAAAGACGGGCTGTGTTATCGCAAACTTCTCATCTAAATTCTGACCAGTCTATTGAACATCTCATCTGTTCCTCTTGGCAACATGTAGTTGCTATAGAAACCATCTATATACCATTACCAGATAATGGGAAATCACCCGAAGTTAAGCGATACCAGTGTTAGATTTGAAATGTGAATGTAAGTCAGTTTTGTAGACCAATGCGTCATGTTTGATGTTGGGAATACCACTATTGGTAAGTCATATTTTAGTACTTTTCAAAGACCTAAAAAAGCCATTTTTCTGGAAGTTCCAGTAAGACGTTATTGAAGACTGATTAGAAAATTATTTATTCATGAATATTCATAAATTACAACCAACTGATATCAAACAAACAGTTAAACAAACAATGAAATAATATTGCAGATAATATCCATTTTTCAAACATCCTGTTGAAACTTCGTTCTGTTATTACTTAAGCAGAACACATTTAAGTGCTACATAAATACAGGAAATATTGCCAGTTGTGTTTCAACATTTTTTTCTATCTGTGGTGATCTCGATAATTTTTTTTTAACTGGTGATACATCTCTATATTTTCATCGTCTTAATGTAGTCACACATTTTGTTTTTATAAGGTAAATTTATTAGAGATATTTTAGATTTCCTGGATGCGTTTGAAATAAGATATATACCATATGCAGTTTTACACAAACTGCACCTTTTTCACCTAGATATTCATCTAGATTGTTTTAAACTATACAACACTATTGTCAATGTCCTGAATCGAAAAGAAAAGAATATGAATGGAAGTATAGGACTCGAATGTTGCTATATCTGATATTGTAGTCAATGAAATTTGGAACGGTATCTGATAGTGTATTCTAAGAAATATAAAACGAATGGACAGTTTGTTTTATAATGTAACTAATATCTTGTGTGATAAAAGTGTCCATATAAAGTGTTCTAATACGAAATGAAATGTATGACTACAGTAAACAAGGCTTAGCCAAACTCAGCTGAAGTAACATCAGATACGAACGTTGCTATATACCTGATGAAATAAATATGAAATTTATACACTAACGACATCTCAAATGGGTTGATAAAGTTTCATTTCTTGTGCTTCCTGTTATAGCTGTATTATTGCCGAGACGAAATCTTACGTTTTAACACATTTGGCCCGGTTTCCATACCGGATTTTATTTCAGGAACTTTGCATTGTAATAGTAATATTTCTAGTTTTCATTCTTATGCTTAATATTGGAATTTTATTATAGTGGGAAAATTAGTGTGTTACCGTTCGTTAACAACTTTAAAACAACATCACAAAACCGCATTTCTCAGGGTGTTGTTTATCGTCCTCGTGAATGTCGTGTATGCAAACTAAGTAATAACAAATAAATTTCACAAATGTATCTAATGTTTTGTTATTTATCACGAGTGTGCAGCACGAGTGTCATGTTTCATTAGTTAAAAATATTTCAATATACTTATTCCGTTTACCTTAACCAGAAAATTTAACTTTATTTTTAGGTTGTTTGTAAATATCATTTTCTTGTCATAATTATCCTATATTTCAAATATTTTCAATAACTCAAATAATATATATTTCTAGTAAATATAATAAGAAAATGATCAATATTTTTGACAAGCGTAAAAGGTATCTACAAAGCCGCATAAATGGATATATATATAAAGCAATATTGTCACAATAATAGGGTCATTTCATATTAATTAATTACATTAAAGTAAACACATAAATGTTGCCATCCCACACATTACATGTCATTCCATGACTTATACATACCCACATATCTAGGAAGTAACATTGACCCAACAATTCTGAAGCTCATACTTGTTCAAGGCACGTAATTGCTTTTAAATTGTTTCACTAAAACCTCTCACGGAGTGACATCGGTAAAGCGCTGACGTCGAATTTCTACTAAGGGTAAGTTACCTTGACCCAACAATCTTAATATTCGTTATTTTCAATGTATTTCATTGCTGAAAGCTATGTGCAGTTTGATTAAAATCGCTCAAGGAATGAACCCGAAAAAGCACTGATAACGTTTAGTAATAGTGATCTTGACCCAACAACCCTGAAAGCTAATCTTGTTCAATTAGATTTAACCTTTTAAACATTTTATTAACATCCCTTTAGGAGTGAAGGTTTTAAAGAGCCTATGGTATGAAGCCGTGACTCTGCGACTCTGAAACTCCAAATTGACCAAGACAGTATAGGTGTTTTTAACTGTGTGGGGTTTGAGTAAATTCTAAATATCGTATTTGTC